CCGTTCACACAATCAGCACAATCCATGATGGCTTATTGGGCACAGTGGTCTGCAGAGCCTGCAGGCAGGATGGCACTCAAAGCCCTCACCACCAGCACCACAGCACCTTGCTATGTGCAACTCCAGTGAGCATGGGTTGTTGGAGTGGTTGACAAACCACCCAGGCCAACCCATGGGCTGTTGTAGGTGGCTTACTAACCACCCCAGAAACCTACTTTTGCCAGGCTTGTGCCCACAGCATCCAAAAATTCAAAAGGGCAGCCACCACCTTAATGAGAATCCCCACAGTGAAATTTAACCACAGCCAGTGAGTGGCTTCTCATTATCCCAATGCCACATTCTCAAACCGGAGAGAGGTGACAAGTGCGGTGCCACCAGGTTCTGTCTTGGGACCGGTACTCTTCACCATTTTCAATAATGATTTAGATGAGGAAGTACAAGGAAAGATAAATAAATTTGCAGATGACTCAAAGCTGAGTGGAATACCCTGCAAATAGCAAATAGCCTGGAAGACAGAGATAAGATACAGGGTAATCTTGATAGATTAGAACACTGGGGAGAGAGCATCAGAATGAGATTCAATAGGAACAATGCCAATTTGTCTACTTAGGAACAAGAAACCAGATGCACTTCTACAAGAACAGAGGACACTTGGCTCAACAATACTGCAAATGAGAAGGATCTTCGCGTTGTTGTAGATCACAAACTAAATATGAGCCAACAATGTGATTCAGCTGCAAAAGGGGCAAACTCTATTTTGGTCTGCATTACCAGAAACATCACTTCCAAAATACATGAAGTCTATGTTCCACTATACTCAGCACTAGTCAGACCTCATCTGGAATACTGTGTCCAGTTCTGGGCACCTAAGTTAAAAAAGAAGTAGAAAAGCTAGAAAAGATACAGAGGAGGGCAACAGGGAAGGTTCAAGGACTGGAGGCAAAGCCCTATGAGAAAAGATTGAGTGAACTGGGCATGTTCACCCTCAGGAAGAGAAAACAGGAAATATGATAGCACTCTACAAGTACCTGAAACGCTGTCACAAAGAGGAAGGGCAAGATCTCTTCTCATTTATTCTAGAGTGCAAGACACGGAATAATGGCCTCAAGTTAAACCATTTTAGACTAGACACCAGGAAGAACGTCCTGACTGTCAGAGCAGTACAACAACGTAACCTATTAACCCAGGAAAGTTGTGGACTCTCCCTCACTAGAAGGCATTCAAAAAGCATTTGGATAGTCATCTAAATGGGATGGTGTAACTTAGTGTCCTAAGCAGGGGGTTGGACCTGATGGCCTTCTGGCCCCTTTCAACCCCTATGACTCTATATGTGCACTGAGACTTTGTTTAATACATCTGCTCCGAATGTTCTGAAGCAATATAGAAAGCAAATGTACTGATAGGGCCAATAAACTGAAACTCAATCCAGACAAGACGGAGGTCCTGTTGTTTGGTGGATCGGGTTTTGGAGAGGGTGGATTTGACCTGGTCCTGGATGGTGCAAAACTCCCTCTTAGGGACAAGGTCCGCAGCTTAGGAGTACTCCTCGACCCGGAGCTTTCTTTGGAAGCTCAGGTGACAGCGGTGGCGAGGAGCACCTTCCTTCAGCTTCGGCTGATTAATCAACTGCGCCCCTACCTGGAGTACGACTGCCTGGCGACGGTGACACACGCGCTGGTGACTTCCCGCCTAGACTTCTGTAACGCGCTTTACGTGGGGCTTCCCCTGAAGACAGTCAGAACACTTCAATTGGTGCAAAATAGAGCTGCCAGGTTGCTGATGGGGACGGGGCGTTATGCTCACATGACTCCAGTCCTCCGTCAGCTTCACTGGCTTCCCGTTGAAGCCCGGGCCCAATTCAAGGTGTTGGTTATGACCTATAAAGCCCTAAACGGCTTGGGTCCTGGCTACCTGAACGAGCGCTTACGTCCGTATATGCCCGACCGCCCCTTGAGATCTGCGGGAGAGTCCCTTCTCCGGGAACCCTCCATGAAAGAAATTAGGAGAGTAAGTACTCGGAGGAGGGCTTTCTCTGCGGTGGCGCCCAACCTATGGAATTCACTCCCCAAAGAGGTCCGCCTGGCACCGTCGTTACTGGTTTTTCGGCGCCAGGTAAAGACCTTTTTATTTAAACATCATTTTAATTGTTAAAATATATGATCTGGCCAGGGCAACTTCTTCTTCCTTCTCTTTTCTCCTCCTATATTATTTATTTACTTATTTTATACTGTTATTTTTAATTTTATATTATTATGTTTGAAACTCAGTGTATTTTTGTATTTAATGGTAATTTATTATGTTCTATTGTATTTCAATGTATTTTATTGTGTTGTAAGCCACCCCGAGGCTTCGGCAAGGGGCGGCATAGAAATGTAATAATAATAATAATAATAATAATAATAATAATAATAATAATAATAATAATTTGGTTTAATAACAAAGGAAATCAAATAGTGATTTTCTTAACCTTTTGAAGATCTGCATGATTAGAATAACTTTGGTTCTCAGTATTTATTTATAATTTCCGTATGAATGTAGACTATTCATGGGTTACATTACAAAAATAATATTTGCTGAATTCAGCATCACTCAATTTCTGAGCAATCTAGTGTTTATTCCTTGAACAATAATTTTAAGGAGGGACTCTTCTGTGAGAATTTAGGAAGTTCTAGACTTACCAGGGAGGTCCTTCCAAAGTAAATTCATTAATTCATTCAGTGCTTAGACAGAATTGCACAGGATTCAATGGCATGTGTTGTGATTGAACTGTGGCCCTGAGTCCTTAAGACGAAAGCTCAGTAATATAATGCCAGGTTTCTTTTATCAGAAAAGCATCCCTCAGAGCACTGCTTTCATAGGTGGTCTTTGCTATTTGAAGTTCCTGGCCTGTATCACTCAAAGCCCCAGCTGTTTGTATACATCCTCAGATGTGTGCTCTGCATGTTGATTCTCATAACAGTTTATAGAATGCATCCTGAAAGGTATAGCATTTGGCCAGGCATAGAAATTTGAGCTGAGTCAAACTCAAACTTAGGAAAGCACAGAACTTGTACCTGTGCAGTATGAATTGATGTCACTTTTTTTCCCCTTTCAACAGCAAACCTAATGTTGTTTTATTCTGTTTCAAACATAGTTTCCTGCATGACATGCAGGAAAAAACTTATCTCAAGTTGAAACTTCTGAATGTTTGGGGATACAGACACTACTTGAAAGCCATGGGCTTTATGTCTTAACAGAAAAATGTGAAAACTGATAAAAGTCTACTTGAAGGTGGCAGATTTTTGGTTATTAGAACTTCTGGAAATGTAAATTTGTACTGCTTCAAGGAACCTGTGTTATTCATCTGCATTCAGAGATGCTAGCATGAAGTTATTTTATTACTATATTTATATCCCAATTTTTTCCCTTTCAAGAATGCAAGGTGGCTTACATAAGCCACTTCCTCCTCCTCTCAATCTTATCCGCACAACAGTTCTGTGAGGTAGGTTGGGCTGAGAGTCTGTGACTGACTTAAAGTTACCCAGTAAGCTTCCCATCCCCATGGCTGAGTGGGGATGAGAACCCAGATCTTCCTGGTCCAAGTCCAGCATTCTAACCACTAAACTGCATTGCCTATAGACCTTTCCAAACTCAGTGCCCTTCAGAAGTATTTGACTGCAACTCCATTAACCCCCAGCCAGTATGGCCCTGTATCCCCACATATATGAAGATGTACCAGCTTGAGATAGGCTGTTCTAGTGTATGGTACGCAAGCACTTGAAATGCAGCAACTGCAGCACTGCTGAAATAGGGTAACTGTTGATCAGTGTGTGGAAGGAAAACTACAGACAAGCCCATGTAAATAACTCTTAAGGTTGCAATCTCATAAATACTTACCTGGGAGTAAGCACTATGGAATTCAGCAGGACATAACTCTGAGTAGGCATGTAGAGGGTTGCACTATAAGCTATTTAAATTAAATTTCAGAATACAGACACTGGAAATAAAGCTGTGAATCAGAGTGGTTAAAATTACAAATCAGATTTTTAAAATATTAATTCATAGGACTTATTTTTATATTGGATTTTATAAAAATCAGATTTTTAAAAATAAAATGCTTTTTGAGAAAAAATATGAAGATCATTTTCTTTTCAACATACATTATAGTCCAAAGGTTATTCATCATGAAATAAGGATTGGTTTTTAATTATGTAGCATGTGGCTGTATGTTCATGTAATGTTTAATTTTTTGGTAATTCTGTTAATCCATTCACAAGAACATATTCTTCCAGAACATGTAAGATTATTGGGCAAGTTTTTCTATCTAAATATTATCACAGGTGCTTGGTTTTACAGCTCTCACAACTGTGGATTTGTGTCTGCAGAGATAACATCCCTGTTCTTTGCAGCAAAAAAGTTATAAACATACAGAGTTGAGGGGACAGGGGAAGACCTTAATTCCATTGTTCCTTTGCAAATCTCTATATATGCAAAATTAACCCTTTTACCCCTTAAATGCTAAGTTTCAAAAAAAAAATCAGTGAATAGAAGCTTGTTGGGAGTGGAATAAATGTGCAGAAGAAGCTAAATGTGAGGAGGGAGGGGCAAGCAGTAACAATGAAAGTGAAACCTTTTGAGCAGAATATTCTACATGTCTTAGGATCTTTTTGTGTATAGCCTGAGGTTTATTGTATTATTCTTTCCCTGGAGGAAAAAAATCTATAATGACAACAAGCCATAAAAGAGGCCCAGTTTGGGAATATTTTAATGAATTTCCTCTATCTACAGGTGAGGCAAGCATAGGTGGAAATAATGTAGAAAATCATAATGTAAATCTAGTTTTACTGACTAGTGATTTAAATCAATTTTATTAAATCAAACCCATCCTGCTGTGACTACTTTCCTAAAGCACCATCCTCTTTTGTAAAGCCCAAGCATCTTAACTGCTGTTTTGGATCCTTCATTGTGATCATCCACTGTGCCACTAAGTTGATTTAACATCTGGGTTCTATTTCTTTCAGGTATTCGCCCACAAATAATGAATGGCCCTATGCACCCTCGTCCATTGGTGGCTTTACTAGATGGAAGGGATTGCACAGTGGAGATGCCAATTTTGAAGGACTTGGCTACTGTTGCATTCTGTGATGCACAGTCAACTCAGGAAATCCATGAAAAGGTAAACTAGCTTTTATGATAAGCTGGAAATGAATCTATGAGTTCTCTTTATCCCTTGTGAATTTGTGATTGAATATGTATCTATCAATCTAGTATTCCTTCCCCCTTTTGATAAGACTTCCTTAACCAGGCAGCCTTCAGCTTGTATTGAGACCACAGTTTATATCATTCCCAGCCAGCACTGTCATCAGCTGTGCTTGCTGGAGAGCAATGGGTTTTGTAGTCCAACACAGCTGAAAGGTGCCAGATTGCAGGGAGGTTGCACTAAACAGTATGCATGGCATGGATTCTTGAGCACAGCTAGTTTCTTTGATGGCATCTGCCTAGGATTTGATAGCTGGGCGTTGTTTAAGCAGCCCTATCTCCTGGATTTGAAAATTGACTGATCTTGTTAGATAGGCTTTAAAATAGGTGGGTAAGTAGGAAAAGGTTAATGCAAACAATCCGCCTAGTGCAGGTGCTGTGCTTCTTGCATCCAATGTTTTGTGAACAGCTGTTGGTAACAAACAGCATGTGTTCATGAAGAACAGATTTAGCTACTCTGCCCTGATTGATTTTTTAAATGATACAAAATCAATAGATGCAAGCAAATGAATTAATATATAAAAGCAGATCAAATACACTAGTTTTTCATCTATGTATTACATAACTGTTTCCCAGGAATTTTTTGAATCTGACTTCCTAGTGGATCCTATTAAGTAGATTGGTAAAGGGCAAACATAGTTGAAATGAAGCTTGAGGTAAGTCCCAAAGTATGCAGTTGCCTGAAGCAAGCGAATATCCAAACTAGACATTAGATGTGGGTCCATTTACCTTTTCCCCAATAGCCCACCTTTGGCCAGCTAGATCAGGGTAGAGCAGAATCAGGATATCAACAAAAAGTGAGAAGGGGATACTTAACAACTGTACCACTGATCTCGCCACAGAACTCTAAACGTGTGTTCACTTTTCATTTCATAGGTACAAGGTTATTGGCCAAATATTTCACAAATCTTTGCCATATTTGGCTCAGCCTTAATGCAATTTCTTCTTTGGGTTCAATATATGTGGTAATATATATATCCAGAGGGCTTTAAATGCAAGTAGAGTTCCATTTGGAAATAACATCAATATTAAAGGGATCTGCAAATAAGACAACACTTTGGTGCATGTACAACAAAGGCCTTATTCAGGTCCTTGTTCTTGTGAGAAATATGGGGCCTTAATGTCTGGACAAAATTCTGAAAATAGTACATATTGAACAGTCAGACTTTGACATTACTCTGTGAGCCGCCCAGAGATGCTGTTGCACAATTGGGTGGCATACAGATGTTTTAAATAAAATAAATTTGATTTTGTAGCATTTCAGTCCTTGTTTTCCTTTAATGTTAGCATATAGGCTCCAAATGGAGCCCTTTTTTTGTTTTCTCTAAGTACTGTATGGGGGGAATAGCAGCAATTAATGCAATGGGTAGTTTGACCCCAAAAGAGGCTCAGCTGGGTTGTGATCTTCTTTTATATCGCTGCCTCCAAACTCCTGTTCCAGCCTCTTCATCCTGCCTTCTCTGTTATCGGCTGTGTAAATCCAAATCACACTTCCTTTCCTGCAATGGTCCATTCCTTGTCAGAACGCCTTGTTCTTAGAAGTATAATAAACATTCTCATATGTATGTTTGGCCAAGAAAATATTTATCAGCAAGTATCTTTGAATACAGAACACCTCAATGAATAGTTCAAAAGGGGTGTCATGTAGAAAGAAATGCTTTGGGGCAACTGGAGGGAAGAAATCCAAGCATCCGAGAAATGAACATAAATGGGAGAAAGAATGGGGAGAATGACAAGATCAAAAATGATGGGGTGGAGGTGGCAGGCAAATCCTTAGAAGGCTTACTGTCATTTATGGCTCAGTCTGTCCTCAGGATGCTTGCGACTTAAGGAATTATCTCTTGCTATGGCAGGCTTCAGCATGAGTTTTACATAATCAGCAATAAATAGCCTGGTCAACTCAAACGTAAAGCTGTATCCAGGGAATCTCACCTAAGTTGTTGCCAGTTTGAAGCATTTTCCACTATTGAGCTGTGATTGCCCTTGGTGTGGAAGAACGGGGGTGAATGCAACTTTAAAAGAGATGTGAAGACCTGGGAAAAATGGGAAAATTCAGGGAAAAAGCTGATGTTGGGAGGAGATCCCAAATTTTCCCTGCACTTTCACACCTCTAAGCCTTATTCTTGATGAATCTCTGGCAAGCAGTATATAAATCTGTGCATTAGATATAGATCAAATTGGGGTGTGTAGGCAATTCTTATCTGAAGTATCCAGTTACACGAGGCCAATTAGATGTCAAAGAATGGTTTGTCTCTTCTTCCTTCACTTGTCCAATGTTTAGAAAAGATATTTCTCTCATCAGCCTCAGTTGAGCATTGAATCATAACAATTCCCCGACACGAACCCTTCCTTCTTTCTTTGTGGTCTCTGTGACTTGTCCATATGAGCGTATGCGCTTGCACAGAGCAGTATGTGGAACATTCTGCAGGTAAACAGCTTTTGGATGAGAGCCCTGCTGCCTTCCTTTGTGCTCTCTCCAACAGTGGCTCCTGCCTACATCTCCATTCCTTTCTTTCCTGTACAGCAAAATCAGCATTTTAGAACATTCTCCACCTCATGGCAAAAAGAGAAGTCATTCTATGCTCTGTTTTCTTCTTTCTCTTTCCTTCTGCTTCTGAAGCACGAATCAGAGTTTTCTTCTCCACTTTACTATTTCTTGAGTTTTCTTCCTTTCCCTCTCAGTGGTGTACCGCTTCCAAGGTCATCTTCAAAAAATGTTTCCACTGTAGCACGAAGATTCCCATTATCTGACAGGTACTCAGAGTGCCTCCTGGGTCTCAGAGAGTTCTACAGCGATTACTCTTGCCCCCATTGCAAGGCCTTTACTTAACAGGCCAGGAAAAATAGCTTGATGCACCTCAGCAATCTTCCTTAGGAACAAGCCTTGAAAGTGACAGACTTGGCTACACAAAACTGGCTGTTATACATTACTTCAACTTGTGTTTGCAGGAGACTAGCTAGGAAGGTGCAACCAGCCAACATGCCACTTTAAGGACATCCATATGTCCAGTGCCAACACCTTTGAGTATCTGCTTGGACCAATGGTTCAGACTGTGCCTCCAGCACCCTAGCTTGATACTGATCAGGTCAGGCAGACTACATCCCATTCAAAGATTCCTACAGCCCTGAATTATTGCTGATGCTTCATAGGTGCCCTACAGCCATTAGGGCCTTGGGACTGAAAGCGGCAGCAACAAGAGAAAAGTTGTCCCATTAAATTTATTCTGCCACCAAACTGGAACCCATTTCAGTTCCAACTCAATTAACTAGAGCTCTAGTACCACTCATTCCGGTACTACAGAAATTTAGAATCACTGATGACCCCAATTCCCACGATGATCTCCTGCACCTCAACTCCATTACAGGTCTCCTTCGCATTATGGTGACTAGTCACCTAGAAAGCACTGCTGTTGCCCTCTGCCACTTAACTATCAGCACCCACAATCCCACCTTCCTTACTGGTCAGTCTTGAAGCCTCTTCTATCACACCAAGCCTCCCAGGATGGCACCTTCTGAAGAGCCTGGTCTGGTAAATCTGAATATCCCGCCTCTCCATCTTTGACCACTGCTTTTGGACAACTTTTCCCTTAAGTACTTCAAGATTTATCACTTTCTACATAGTGTCCACCAGTCATCCAGCTTACACAACCAAGCACCAGTCAGGGACCCATTACCTGCACAAGATAGCTACTGCTCTGACTATTCCTATTTTTCCTCTATTCCCCAGATGCTGCCACTGGGAACCAAACCTATCATCTCCTCAGATGAAATCAGACCCCATTCTGAAAAAGGCCAAGACCCTTGATCTAGAGATCAAACTATTATGCCCCCCCCCCCGTCTCCAACTCAATCTTTTACAAGGTCCAAGTGGACATAGTACTGTTAGTCTCAACCTAAATGCTACTGACCCTAATACACATAACTAAACAGTCATGGACAGACCCCTTCTTTACATAACCAACTTTTCAAAAAATAGAGAATGTTAAGAGGGTCCAAGAGGAAGACTGCTTCTCCCTATCCAACCCCCTAGTACCTAATTCCATTATTGCTGAAGCTTCAAAATTGAAGCACATGGCACATTTCCTCCCCCAACAGACTAGAAGGGCCAGAAACTCAATGCCATTGGTCCAAAAACCACATAAGTGACTATACTTGTTAGCTCTGAGCCATAGTAACGAAGCGTCTAAAGTCAGGGCACCAGAATCAATGGTGATGGAGAGGAATGTAGGCCTTGGCAGAATGAAGCATGGCCAGAGGCAGAGTTTGGATGCAAGTAGAGGTTGAAGACCAGCAAGGGGAGAGGCAGAAGCAATGCCCAGATACAAGCAGAGGTCAAACACCAGGAAGGTGTGGCAGGACCAGGGTTTGACCATCCACTTTCATCAAGCACCACCGCTTAGATGACAGAAAAGCTGCCTTCTTTGGCAAGACTTTTCTTTCCTCAATTTTTGCATGGCATGTCCCTGCACTAGTAAGTTCTTAGCCTTATAGTCTTCCGTACATGTGAGTTACAGAGGACACAGAGAAGGACAGCTTGCTTAACTGGACTAGCAGTCACTTGAGTGGTGATCTGTGCACTCATACAGCCCACCTTTCTCCCTGCTCCCTGGAACAGGGAGGCAGGCAGGACATATGCAGAGGAAGGGGGTACTTCTTTTGAGTCTCCTTTGACTCATGAAGAGTGTGCCAACGTGCTCTGGGAATAGCTGCCTCTTCCCGTTGAAAGCAAGGTCATCCAGCTGTGGCTACTCTAGAAAGGATGGTGTTCTCTCCACACACACTCGAGACTGGCCTTGTTAATGCTGGCAAAGCATGGTTTAATCAGCCCGATTTAAATATATATTTAAGCCTTAACCTGTCTTCCCATCCATCAGCATCATTAGGCCCAAGACCTAGTGAGTGGCTTGAAGGGAAGTGGCTAAGCTGCTCCCAGGGAGAGCATGCAGAGCAGCATGTGGCGGAAATGTGCTTTTTGCATACTCTGAGACCGTGGCTCAGAGTATCGTTTAGCTTCACATTTGGCTTCCAAATGACTGGTGTAAATTGGTGTCCTGCAACAGCAGAATGGCTTTCGTGGCCCTTTCCCACTCTACTGTTCTATAATTCTATGATTCCTGTTTGCTTTGGCTTCACAGGAGCTCCTGGTAGCACAGTCCAGGCAGGTCCTCAGAGTCCGACTGCCCTTCTTCCACCCACAGTGAACAAGTACAACTTTACAAAAGTATTGTCCATGCACGTGATAGCATGTAGTTTTAGTTTAACAATTCTGAGTCCATCAGACTGGGGAAGATGGACCTAGAATCACCATGGCTAGCAAGCCTCCTCTTTGTGTTTGCCCCATTCCAGATGATGCCAGCAACCCTTATGAGAGTCCAGCAGCTGGCAATGGATGTCTTACTGGTGACCAAGAATACCTTAGTAAACTTGCTATTCCAGAGGTCTTAGTAGTTACTAACATCTCTGCTTCCCCTTTATCAAATGAATTGTAATCCAACCCAATCCAGAGATGTTTTAGTTCACAGCCTGGAGACCGAAAGACAGGGAGCAAAGGATTTGGGTTAGTTAAAAAGAGTGCCAAGAACATTGTTCTCAAGAATGGAATCCACTAACAAGATGTATGGCAGCACATGTAAGACCTACCAGCAATGGGCTGATGGCAAATCAAGGATTACTTGCAGGTGAGTCTTTCTAATGGCCTGAGACTCTTGCTTAAGAGGCAAGAGGCAACACTGAACGCTATCCTAAATTGCAGCATACCCAACCACTATCTTGTCCATATCTTTCTAAAGGATATAGTACAATTTCCTCATTCTGGAACCTGGAACAGGTCCTCACAGCATCTTCTCACATAGTCACAAGTCTTGTGACAGGTGCTGTCTTTGAGCAGCATACTCACTTAACTATGGTTTGAAAAATGGTGCATCTGGTATAGGCCATTACAGAAAAAAGTCTCTCAAAGCTAGATGTTGTAACTTTCAGCTGTCCACTCTGTTTTCCATGCAGACAAAGTGGCATTATACACCAACTGCTCTGTAACCCTTGGAGTGAATTCAGTTTTCCTTGGTTCTTAAATTTTTCAGACTGCGGTGCTTGGAGGGATGCTGCTCCTCCTACAGAGCAGCTAAGGTTAGTTGACTCTGCCTCCAAAAGGGGGAGGAACTACTCCCAAACCAAGTTGGAATGTCCTTGATGAGTCAAGGAGAGATCAATAAGTGAACTTTTGCCTGTTGCAGACCTGCTTGGTCATCTTGCCCTGCCATGGATTTCCATCTGTGGTAAGGTTGCAGGCCTTATCAGACTTCCCCACATTGACTAGATAGGTATCTGTAGGCACATAGAGTTCTGTAATATTTGTGGCATTATCAACAAACCAGAAAGTCATGGGCTACCAAATTCTAGCAAGTGAGTATTGAATTTGAGAATAGTTTCTTGTTCCACGTTTTGCCGTGGTCAGTTTCTCAGCTCTCCAGCTCCCTCCAACTTGTACTGAGCTAAGCCCTAAAGAGGTGGAATGCAATTTGTAGACCAGAGAAAGGGCAAGGAAAGGATCAACTTCATCTGGTCATACTCTAGCCTTTGCTTCCTTTCACATACTTGACATACTTTCACAATCTGGTATCCTGTTAGGCCCAGAATTCCCAGCCAGCAGGGAATTATGGGGATTGTAGTCTAATACATCTGGAGGACATAAGATTGGGGAAGGTTCCTCTAGCCCTTTTCTCCATCTTTTCTCAAAACCCCTTCCCCTTATATACTGGCACAACAAGGTATCTTAAGGGATAACTTAAAAGAGGCTAGAATAATCTCAGAGAAAGGTAAGCTGGGGTTAGCTGCTTCATGGCTCTTGGAAAAGTCCTACCTGTCTTTCTACCATTTATATCACTGTTGTTGAAAAGGAAATGTTTGTCTACATAACAAAGGGTTTACTGATCAGTGGGCCTGCAAAGGTTCAGAAATGAATGAACATCATTTAGATAAATGAACATTATTTAGATAAATGCATGGAAGTACAGGTCACTCAGTCAATTCAGGATCTAATACCAAAAAAATCCAATACTAAAAGATGTTTCAGTGGCATGGGGATGCAAAGGAATTTTGATAAATATTCTTTATGATGAGGACAAAAGAGCACGTGCAAATTATCACTGTTTATGATACTTTGTTCAGACAGTTGCTCTTTTTTATCCATTTTCTCTCAGCAGGTAAGCCTTCTGACCTCAAATGATTAGACCTTCCAGACAAAATAGCTTATGGGAGTTTATTCACATATATACTGAGGTTGTTTAGGGTTTCCACAGTTCCTTGTGAGTTCTGAGCACTTAGATTGAACCATTTGCCTTGCTCAATACTTGCATATATGACACATCACCGGACTTCAGCAGCTGTTACTGGAACATGTCCATCTGCTTCACTGATATCTATATTTTCCTTTCTCTGTGTGTGTTAGGTTTTAAATGAAGCCGTTGGAGCAATGATGTACCACACTATCACTCTTACCCGGGAAGACCTGGAGAAATTCAAGGCCTTACGAGTCATTGTTCGGATAGGCAGCGGTTATGACAACATAGACATCAAAGCTGCAGGGGAGCTTGGTATGTTTAGAGTCTACTCCAGGAGTACTTCTTAACCAAATTGTTGCTTTTTGTTCATGTTTTAAAGTAGTATAAATTACTTGATGGTCTTAGTATGATGTTTATAGCCTCTGTGTGTGTGTGTGTGTGTGTGTGTCCTGCCATAAAGGTAGTTTTAACACCATAAAGCAGCTTTACGCACTACAGCTGCTCCAGAGTTCACAAGGGAATTCCAACACAAGATACACAATTTCACACACCCAAAGGCTTTGCCTTTCTTAGTGGTAAATTTTGTGAACTGAACTTTGTGGAGTTCTGATTTGATATGAAAGTCCAGTGGTCCATAGTTTTCTGTAACCAGAGAATAGTTCTTCTGTTGGGTGGATGTTGCCTGTTGTACATATGAGAAATGCCCTGCCATAAATAGAAGACTAATAGGGTAGCCCCAGATTCATACTGGAATCCTACAAGCTTTGGATTATGTTCTAATGCTTCATCAAGAAAAGCCTCTGATTGCTAGGAGCAGGTCTATAGGGCTGGTTCAGGTAACACTTCCGCCATGCCTCACATCCACATGTTCTAATCTAGATATCAGGAGGGCACTCTTGGTGGAAACAACAATATCTGTTTTATTTGTGTACCATCAGTTTGTGCTGATTTAGCTGCATGCAGCTGGTGTGACAGAAAGAGACTTCCCTGCCTCTTCACCCTAAAGCAATGCTTCCAGGTCCCTAAAAATGCCACACAGAGGATCATGGGCCTTTCTGAATGGGATGAACTGTGGGACAGGAGAAGGAGAGATTCAGCCAAATCTACACCTCCTGTGAACAGAGCTCTCCCGCCAAAAGAAGACAGATACTAGTTCTAGCCTGTACATAAGTACACTTAAATGCATTAATTAATTAATTGCTTTAATTAAATTAATTAATTAAAACCTTTTCTATCCCGTCCCCTACAGAATGTCTCGGGAGGGCTTACAATAAATTATACAAATGTCAGTTAAGCCACTGCCTCACAATGAAGACTGCACAGTGTTGCATGGTACATCTTGTCCTTATACCTGTTCACAGGTGTACGATCCACATTCTGTGACACATTCACTGAGCCAGTGTGGCACAGTGATCAGCATGCTGAACTGGTGATGTGTAAGATCTGGGTTCATGAAGCTTACTGAGTGACAGTCCCTCACTCTCAGCCTAACTTATCCCACAGAGCTGTTGCTGGGAGAATAAAATGGAGTGGAGGAGAATTTATGGAAGCTGCCTTGGATTCCTTGCAAGAGGAAGAGAGATGTGATGTAATGCAGTAATAAAATGATGACAATAATAATAGCTGCATGTCTGTGTGTAATGCACACACACAGTGCACTTGCAGCACTATATCCATGAAAAGAGCAGCTGTGGTAATATCAGTACATAATAAAGTTTGGCTAGCATTTCTGTTGTTCATCACTTTTATAGCATTGCTGCATATACGTATTTAACATTCATACATTGTCTTATTTGCTAAGAGTAACATCTTAAAATAATAAAATGAAACATTTTAAACAGTAAAACATTAGACCAGATGGCTTAGACTTCAGCTCTAATCAGAACCAGCCAGAATGGCAAGTGGTCATGAATTCTGGGAGCACAATGTCTGTGCCTCATGGTGTACTTTCCTTTCAGAGGACCCTCCAAGTAGCTTCTGCATGGCAGGTATTGCCTAGGCACACCCCTGAAACACCACCAGTATAGCAGAGTCACTATTATCAGATAGTGTTGATGCAAGTATATAAAAATGTCTCTGGGGACCAACCCTGATGGTGGTCTTTGACCTTCAGATGTGCTAATGCTCAGCTCATCAATTGACAAGTTTCTTCAAAAGGGCCTTTTTCATTATATGGCATGTAAACATGAGTCCTCTTGCTTTGATATCCCTTAGCTGCAAAGTCTCTTGCTGTCTGACAACAGACATAGACAACTAATTATGTTATCCTTAACTAGATTTAAGAATTATAACATATTGGCCATTTCAATGTGCTACTAAAATGCTAGTGAGCTGTTTGCAAGCAGCATCGTTAATTGTTTTACCACTAATGAGTACCAATGCATTAGCATATAAAATAAAATTGATCTTTATAGGGTGCCAGCTGTATATGTTTGTCGATAGGGTGTCATTAAAGTGATTAATTGCTTCAGAGTGCTTCATTGTAAATCTTAATAAAACTAAAGAAACACGTATCCTTTGCAGCAGTCATTCTAAACAAGATGCTTTGCCAGATCATTTACATTAAAACATTCTAACTTGCCTGGGAACTCTCTACTGTTTTCCTTGCAGCTTGACTTCACTGTCAGAAATGTGTAGATGGAGCAGCTTCTGAGGGAATTTTTGAACTAATTAAGGACTGCTGAATCATGTGTATTTTGAAATTTTCCTCCTGAGAGTTTTCCTTCCCAGTCCTCAATGTGCCATTATCAATATCTCTTTTGGGTGATGTTCGCTTCTCAGCTCCTGTCAGCTCTGGCCATTATGGTCAGTGGTTGTGGATGATGGAATATGTAGTCTGACGACATCTGGAGGGTCAGAGGTTCTCCAGCCCTCTACCATCGACATAGCAGCTAAATTCTGGAAGCATTAATTCAGATAAATGTTTTCAAAACCTACCATGTCCGCTAGAAAGAGGCATGTCTCAGTACAAGCACTGGCATCCCCAGGGGAAGATTGCAAAGAACATTGTCTGCCAGAATAGGTATAAGCAATGAGGAAAATGATGATCAGAGTTGATGTGCAACACACCCGAAGCGCCCCAGTTTGGGGAAGACTGATCTGTGTCGTCTGTTCTTCTGAACTATTCTAAAGCTGTTGTTTATCTCTGACGTACATCACCACATTTAAAACAGAAAATCTACTGACAGCAGAGAGAAAAGTGGCTGCTGGCATCAGAGGCTTTGGGGTTCCATAAATTCCTGGGGCTTCATGCTTGCATGTTTTCTCATTCTATGATAGATTGTCCATGGAAGACTTTCAATGGCTATTAATAGTTAATGGCCATTAAAACAAATATTAATGTTTGCTTGCCTCTTTCACATGATTTTTCACACCACTCCCCACCACAGGTATGACAACAGCTTGGGCTGGTTACAGGACGGTTGCTGTGAATGGGGAAATGCCAAAATACTGTTTTGAAGAATGCTTTGCAACACAATGTGGCACATCAGTGTAGAAGTCTGAGTGTCAGCTGAGCCTGGGGGTGGACCTGCATTCAAGCCCCTGCATGGCCACATGGATGGGAGTAGGAACACGTGCTATACTGCCCTCAGCTCCTTGGATGATATATGGGATAAAACCAGGATAAATTATTTTGTTAAGTGTTCCATGCACAACATATTTGGGAGATGCATCCAATCTATTTTCCACGATTGTTTCTATAAATGTATATTATAATTTAGTTCTTCGTGTGTAAAATCTGGGGACTGAGGTCAAGAGTAGTTGCGTTTTTAAAAGCACTGTAGGCAGATGGAAGGAAAGATGGTCACACCATTATTCCCAGAGTGATTGGGATATGGTTTTGTGGGAGTAGGAAGGAATGACACGTGCTGGGCACTTCTTTCTTGGGAAACCTGGCATTGCAAAGAGTCAGTTCTGTGTTGAGTAAATAAATATTGCTGCACTTTGGCAAAGCTGCTTACACTTCTTAACCCTGTCATATGGCTCAGCATTACCTGGCCCAAACAGCTCTGCCCCATGAGGACAAATTATCTTGCTACACTGAGATAGGGTAAGGCAGGTAAAGCAGCTCCCTTTGTGACCTTAAGGCCAGAGTGACCTAAATTGTGACAAGAAAAGTTATATTTTCATTTTAGCACTATTCTAAAGCGTATTCACTCCCCAGTTGTCTTCTGCAGTGATTACCTGTACAGTCAAAATAAGTTTAGAACTATATTCTCACTACCAAGGACAAACTTTTTGGGGGATTTCTGTTTTTAGATTAAACCTTTTGATTTCCCGCAATTTTTGCAACTGCTAAAATGTGGGTTTCTGCCCCATATTTCAGGGATTGCTGTTTGCAACATCCCCTCAGCAGCAGTTGAAGAGACAGCAGATTCCACTCTCTGCCACGTTCTGAATCTCTACAGAAGGAACACGTGGCTCTACCAAGCACTAAGGGAAGGCACCAGAGTGCAGAGTGTGGAACAGATACGGGAGGTGGCTTCTGGGGCTGCTCGAATTCGAGGCGAAACTCTTGGCCTAATCGGATTTGGTATGTTGATAACTCCTGAGGGAAATAGTATGTTTACTCAAAATAGACCAGGCTTCCCTTTTTCTTCTATAATGGAACTTGACTTTGTGGGGCAGCCTGTAACTGGTGTAAACAAAAAGTAAGTAACCGGGGGCCCATGCTTTACAAGGAGATACTTGTGTGGATTCTAAAATCCTGCTTCATAACTGCCTGTGTGTGTTATTTGAGGAGGCTGAAGCTTCGCACAGAAGTCCATCAATGGAGTGGGTAGGGAAGTGGACTCTTTCCTTGCTGGCCGTCAATTTTGAATTTGCTAAAAAGTGTATGTGCCCCCCTGTCCCAACTACTGCTTTTAACACACCGAAGAAAGTACCATTTATCAAGTTCACAGAATTCAGCTTTTCCTACCATTGGTTTATATTTGTCAGACAACAAAGACAAGTCTGGCTGATGGAGAGTTCCTGGACCATGATTTCAACTGTTCTTGTACTATGAAGTGCCAGGAACACAGCCCTATTGGTCGAGAGAACAGATTTCTGAACTAGACTAAAGGTGCTCAGTAGCAGAATGACTTGAGCTCCTGGAGCTCTGTGTACTCCCAAAGTGGCTCCCAAGGACCCATCCCACCGTGGTTCTTTGATTGCTCTTAGGAGACTTTCATGCTTTGCGCATCCATCCCTGCCATTTCTGTCCTCGGAATAAAGTGGGCCAGTGGGCAGCCACTTGCACTTGCTTCTCAAACAGATTGTCCAACTTTTTCCCCGTATACCAGAAACTGAATGGCACATTTCTGCAATGCCGATTAAGAAGTAATTGCAGTCAGAGCTGGGTGTGCCTCTGTCTGCCCATCTGTGCCTAAATATGGCACAGTCGAGAAGAGGAAGGGTTTCCACCCCGCTAGTAGTCACCAGTATATGGAAGCAGTATTCTCTTATTCCAGTAGCTCCTTTCCCAACATGAAGGCATGGCCGTGTCTGGTTCTTTGGCTTTCACTACATTTTCTAAAAAGGAAGACTCCTGTCTTGATGTAGAAGTCGGTAAGTTGAGCCCAGGCGGTGACATTGAATTGGAATGACATTGTGGATAATGACCTGCTGATTGCGCTGCAGCTGTCCCTCTTTATCAGAAGAGCCTTATTAAACCTTTGCTTCCAAACCATGACAGTTGTCTTAGTCATGCCCAATTAAATAGCCATTCAGCAAGAGTGCAGAAGGAAGAGGGAGGGAAAAAGCCCCTACAGCAAACAAGTTGCTCTTATTATAAATAAGGCTCAGAGTGTGCTGTTGTTGTGTTGTTGTACCAAAGTCATTTGTAATAAGATTTCATGAGCATGCCTTTCTGTTTTCAGTCAGGACTGAGAGGCCATGCAGAGGCTGAAGTGGGGCTGGATTGTAGCATTTTTGAGGCTACTGAAGGTGCTGAAGACCAGCATTTCCATACCTTAGAAAAAGTCCAATGGGAATCAGTTTCTTTGTCAACTAGAGTCCCTCTACTCTATCCCACTTCTGATTTGAAAAATTAGTACCATGTTTCCTCAAAAATAAGACCGGATCTTATATTAATTTTTGCTCCAAAAGACGCATTAGGACTTTTCAGGTGATGTCTTGTTTTTTTTCTTACAAAAGATTCTTACCTCGTGAGTCCTCCATGATTCCTTTCTTGTTCTCAATGGAATAGCTCTTTCTTTTTGCACTCGTCTGGGAGTCAAAATATTACTCCCTTTAAATCTACCATTAAATCAAGTGTTAATTGAAGACTTACAGGACAGGAGTGGCCACACACGAGTGCATTAAGTACATCCGTTGCAACACACGTCATATTGACATTGTTTTTGCGTTGTGTCTGTAGTCCGATTGGTCATTCAGTAGTAAGTCTTGAGTTCATCTTTGACATAGGTGTTTACCTCTTGTCCAAAGGCACCTGCTTGGGTATTTATAAATAATTATAATTTATATTATCATTTATTTTAAGTTGTTCTTGTTGTTAGTTGCGAAGTTGTGTCTGACCCATCGCGACCCCATGGACAACATTCCTCCAGACCTTCCTGTCCTCCACCATCCCCCGGAGTCCACTTAAGCTCACACCAACTGCTTCAGTGACTCCATCTAGCCACCTCATCCTCTGCTGTCCCCTTCTTCTTTTGCCATCTATTGTTCCCAGCATTTTATTTTGAGTATTAATGTCAATAATATTATTTATTTATAATTAATTATATATTAATATTATTTTATAATTCAGTACATCCATCATGTGCTGCAGTGGATGTACTAAATGCATCTGTCTGGCAGGCGGTCTTAACTGGGGTTTATTTTTGGGGTTGGACTTGCATTACAAGCATCCTGAAAAATCATGCTAGGGCTTATTTTCTGGTTAGGTCTTATTTATGGAGAAACACGGTAGTATGCTCTAGGTGTGTCTACAAGCCGTGTCAACTCTGGGGCATGCTTATGGATCCACATAGCAACATCAGTTCAAATTTATTGCCTCTGAAGTGTAATAGCAAATAGTTAATGGATATTTTTGAAAAATGCCATAGCTACTTATATTCTAAAAGCAGATTTGAGTAATGCCCTTGTACACGCTGCATTACACAGTCCATGTTTGACCTTCAGCTAAGTCAGCACTAAGTCTGTCTATCCAAAGAATTCATCTCTTGGAGATTTAAGATGGACTAGCAAATCGGGAGGGGAGAAGGGAAGGACACAAAGCAAGGTGTTCTCTGATACCCTCTTGTGCCCAGAAAAAAAATGACACATCCAGATAGGTTTCTCCAATGTGCACATGCACACACACACACACACACACACACACACACACACACACAGAATCTGCATAAAAAGAAACACCAGGTAAATTAAAAATATGGTAAGGAATGAATAAGGGATTATCTAAGGTCTTAGTGATCATGTTTCTTGCATATTCATAGTATGTAGCCTATGCATTCTTGCAGAAATACCAGTCTTAAGACACAGTAAAGCCACTGAAACAGGCCTGCCCGCAAAGTGGCCCCCAGCCACATACTGCTCCCCAGTTTTGCAGTCCCACGTCAGGTAGCCAGCAAAACTGTGGGGTTTACCAACCCCTTAGCAAGTCACATGATGCCGGACCCACCAACAATAGCCCTGCTCTCAAGTGAACCTTCCTTTGAGAATGTCCCACCCTTCTGCAATGTTGCTGCACTGGCACCTCAGCTCTGTCGCGATGAAAACATCCAAAGTCCTCGCCATTCAGCCACAATGCAAATTCTCTGCCTGCTATCGAAGCCACCCTCACTGCTGGAGCCCAGCCCATTTGAGTGTGCAGCAAAAGAATGGTCACTGTTAACCCGTGAAGAAGTGTCTTCTTGTCCCTGGCCAGTGTGCTAGCCCCCTTCCCGTACATTTGCAACTGTCATGTTTCAGCTGTGCCTGAGAAAGGGGAATGCAAGGTAGATTCAACACTGCCTGCATGCCTTTGACATGCTAGGAGAAGGCATCTGGTAGCAAGCAGTGCCGATTGGTACCATTTCATGCACTGTTGGGAATTCATTCAGTGCTGCCACCTTGCCAAGCCTGTGGTGATGACTCTTTGCCTGTTTTGTTTTTCTGGCTTAGGTCGCACTGCGCAAGCAGTTGCCGTTCGAGCCAAGGCATTTGGATTCAATGTGATCTTTTATGACCCATACCTGCAGGATGGCATAGAAAGATCCCTGGGAGTCCAGCGGGTCTACACACTCCAGGATCTGCTGTACCAAAGTGACTGTGTGTCATTACACTGTAACCTCAACGAACATAATCACCACCTTATCAATGACTTTACGATTAAGCAGGTAATTCTCAGTGGAGGGGGATCATCTTATTGGCTCCAAGTGCAGCTGTTGTAAGTAGGAATGTGTAGTTGCTGAATGCTGGAATTCCTGCTGGCACAGTAATAAGACCAAGCAGGTGCAAGTAGTAATCGTATGTACTTTTACCTTTGGGATAGCTGAGAGTTATAGGTAACTCTCCATCTGTCTTTTGCACATTGTTCATCAGGTGAGACCAGTTTAGCAGGTTAATATAACATTATCAATACATTACAGATCGTCTAACATTTCAGAATGTAACAAGCCCAAGGTGCCTTTCCTTTTCAGGGCATTTTTTGCTCCAGTCTTTTGGTAGTAACCATATAGAGGTGTGCAGGCTAGCAAGAGACACTGCCTCGTTCTGTCTCTCAGTGGCAGCCTCTTCAGTCCTCTGAAAACCTCACACAGGGCTGGGGGCCCTGCTGAACTGGGTGAATGGTCGTGTAGAATGATGATCCCCCAGAATCGGACAAAGACAACTTCCCCGGGTTGATCCCTTCTGTCAGCAGATCTCAGATCTGAGCCTAGGTCTCATTGGAGTAATACTTGCTTCCACCAGTGGGCTTTTGAGAAACTGGGCTGATGATTAATAAGCAAGTGTGAACTTCTCCTGACCATGTTTTCCTTCCCTTCTCTTGGAATAATAGTCATGGATCCTGTTGCATGTCATAATCACTCCCTGACTGGGCCGAGCACAAGCCGTTTTCCAAACATGTTCAGGACAAATGACAGCTAAGTGACTGGAAAAACTGAACATTCAGCTCTGCTAGAGACACCAGTTGTTCTCATCCCTAGTGCATCAGTGGTTCCTGGGAATATTTCCTAAGTCAGCTTTTTTCTGAGGGGTCCACATGGTTCTGTTTCCACCCTTTTGCTTTCAGCCTGTGTTGCTTTAGTTCTGCTATTCTCTTAATCACCTCTATTCCACACAAAGAGCACATAAATAAGTACCAAATGGACACTTAGCATAATAGTCATGGTGCAGCATTTAGTAACCTAGGAAAACACCTTGGAGACACAGAGTATCATGTAAAAAGGTAAGGCTTCCAGAAAAGGACATTCAGCCACAGTGTGTATATTTACTATAGCGAAGGGTTCCAGAATTCTGCTTGCAGGGCATGGAGATCGAAGGCCAATCTCATGTTGCATCTGTTCTCGTAACCATCTCTGGTAAAGAGAGATGTTTACCAGGTCCAATTTGATCATTTCCCCCCAGTAATCAGTGACTAGTCACTTGACGGTACAGCAGCTTTCCCCAACATGGTGCCTTTCAGAAGGTGGACTGCAGCTCCCATAATCCGCAACCAGCAAGGCCATTGCTGTAGTCTACCATTACTGGCAGGATCCAGCTTGGGGAAGGCTCTCTAGAGCAGGCATCACTGCCTCCTGGGGCCCCATCCAAGACAGCAAAGCTAGAGGCAAGCCTTAACCTAGTGCTCTTGGAGAACACTTCCCTTATCAGGGAAGTGGACGCTTGAGTAGAAGGAGGTGCATAAAAATGCTTTTGCTCCTGAGAAAACTTAGTGTTGAAAATATATTAAACATGCTTCATAACATAAATTGCTGCTTTCCAGCATCTGCTTGAACAAACAGGGTCTCTTTTTTGCTGTTTTGGGTTATTATCAGTACCCAGAACTATTCCCATTATGACCACAGCTAGAAATACTGTTCTGTATTGCTGAGATCTTAACCCTAAACTCAAAGGCAAGCATGTGTGGATTTGGGTGGCCCTGCTGCTTGCAGGAGTGCAGACCTCCAAGTCCAGGAACCAGATGCAGAAGTCCCAACCTGGCCCTGTGCTTGCCATGCCCTTTCCCCTTATTGCCAGTCATGCAGTTGTTTCCTGTGCAGGAGGTTTCTTGCTTACTAACAATAGGAGCTCTAAGCTAAAACAGGCCAGCGTGTCGGTGAGGCCCATTTTTCTTTTGGCCCCTCCCACTGCCCCCCATCACTGCTATGTCACCTCCAGGAGCATCTTAGAAAGGCCTCTTGGTTCTCGGGTTGCAAGAGCCTCAGTGCACTGCTGAGGGTGCTTCACGCCCGAGGGCAAAGACATGGCGGCTGGAGCAGTGCAGGTGGGGGCAGTGCTCTGCTAGGCAAACTACAGCAATAGCCATCTCTGAAGAGCATCTTCTTTCTTCCCTCCTCCGTTAGATGAGACAAGGCGCCTTCTTGGTCAACACAGCACGTGGTGGTCTGGTGGATGAAAAGGCCTTAACTCAAGCCCTGAAGGAAGGGAGGATACGAGGGGCAGCGCTGGATGTGCATGAATCAGAACCGTTTAGGTAAGCAAGGGGGTCTTTTAGTACGGCAAGTTCCAGCCAGACAATTGCACAACATGGGGGAGAGATACACAGTAAAAATGGTCATAAGCCTCAGAAGTATTGGCGACTTCTGTTACCAGAACCATTAAAAACCCACACAAGATTTTAGAAGCTCACTGCATTAAAACGGGTTTGTTCTTTACATTTTGTGTCAATGGCATATGTGAGCTCCTCCGGGTATAGTTCTCCAGAGAAATGAGGCTAAAACTGAGAAGGCACTGCCATGACTCCTGTCGGTATTCTAAACTTTCTTACCTGGCTGGAGGTGGGAGTTACAAGTAGGGTCTTGTGGGTTCTTGAGAACTTTCAGCAGGGTGGCTGAGTTAGGCTTTCAAGTACAAGAAAATGTTTCATTATTTATTATGGCATAAGCGTGAATGAAAACTTCTTGCAGTTGACTACTGTCAAAGATAGCCTGAAGTCAAGAACGCAGCACTGCATTTGTTTGTTATTATATTTATATCCCACTTTTTTCCCTTTCAAGACACTCAAGACTTACATAATTCTCCTCTTTTTCTCATACTTAGCCTCACAACAACAGCCCTGTGAGGTAGGGGGCTGAGAGTCTGTGGCTGGCCCAAAGTCACTCAATGAGCTCCATGGCTGAGTGGGTAGTAGAACCAGATCTCCCGAGTCCCAATCCCTCACTCTTAACTATTACACCACACTGTCTCTATAGGTGACAGCTTATTTGTTAAGAATTAATTATGGTGTTATTAGTTAGTAAAGGCAGGTGTAAGGGCCATTTGCCCCATAATACTGTGGTTGTCAGTGGCAAGCTTAGCAGCATAGCAAAGCTGCTGCTGCTTGCTACCTGCTAGAATTGCAGGCTTCCAGCACAAGGAATGATTGGTGCCAAAAGGAATGTCACTGCCTAGGGCCGTCCATGGTGTCCAGAAGCAAAGGAGTACCCCCTACAGGCAGTTTGGCTGTCTGCTCTGCAAAGCTCCAACCAGGAATTGGAGTCATATTTGGAAGAGTAGCTTTTGAAAGAACTGAAGGTACTTACTGAAATCAGACGGAGGAGATTTTCCTCCTGGGAACATTTCTGATACATTCTCTACAATTCTATATTCTAGGAAGCTTGTTTTCCAAAAAATAAAAAGCCTTGCTGGCCTTTGCAAGAAACCTCCAATAACACGGATGTTCAAAAGCACTTTGAGACGCCAGCAGTGCAGGGTTGGGCTACAGCCGTGCTATTAGTCTGGAAGTGGTGATGGAGACCAGGGCCCTGTGTAAGCATATGGCTGCTGGCTGGATAACTATCCTGTCTGATGTTGGGGGCCTCCATGCATTTTCATACTGCTGACTAGGGTCCCCTCTGCTTCTACCATCACCTCTACAGCACTAGAAGGTATGGCTGGCAATGGCCCATCTACTTTGATTTCATCTAGAGAACAGTCACCTTGTGAAAGAGGGACTTTCGAAGTGTGTGATCGTACATTAAATGGCCTAGGCTATTTAAGCGGGTAAGGTGCTTGTGCTCACTTACAAAGCCTTAAATGGCTTGGTACCAGGATCCCTGAGGGACCGTCTGCTTCCATGCATACCTACCCGATCCTTAAGAGCAGAGGCCTTTTTGAGAGCCATACTCCAAGAGGTAAGGAGGATGGCAAGCAGTGGTTGTGCCCAGCTATGGAATGTCCTTCCAAGAGTAGTTCGCCTGGTGCCAGGCAAAAATGATCCTATTCGCCAGACATTTTAGTCATTGATTTTATATTGCTTAATTTTAAGGTATAGTTTTATATTGTGTGTTAATTTAATATATTAATCTACATTTGACTCCTCAGCTGCATAGTATTTCATTGTATATTATTATTATTTTATTATATGCTTATGTTTTAATATGATATGTTGTTTTTATTGTTTCTTTGTAACCTGCTTAGAGAGTCCTTGGGACTAATTAACTACAGCATAGAAGTTGAATGAATGAGTGAATAGCTAAAAATATAAATAAAGTCAAGGGTAAGGTAGGTTTGCGGAAGGGAAGGCAGAAGGCAAGATCCTCTGTGGATCAGGGCTTCATGGTGTCTGATCTACCCTCATCTGCAAACACTCTAGTTGGCTGTGATCAAGTTGCACTTTCTTCTTTGTCAGCCATCCCTTTTCCAGTTAAGTTGCTATTAGGAATTGTGTGTAAATATGGAACTTACAGGCTTTTTTCCCATTTGACATGCATAGAATTGTGCCATTAGTGAAACGCTTTTTTGCTAGGAGAGAGCTTCACAGAATGAAGCCAAGTATTTTATCTAGGGCAGCTTCTAGAGCTGCTGGTTATGCTGGAATAGCAACGACACTTGATCAGTTTTCTCTGGTCTGCTGATTTTCAGTGGATATTTTATATGCGTTGTTTTCACCCTGCTCATGACTGTTTGGCAAGGCTCTTTGAAATTCCTGTTCTTATTGTTCTGTTCATGTAATTTTGCTTGGAGGTAAAATGTGGAAAGCCTAAGGACTGCTGCATATAGCTAGAGGGGGAGTGCCTTGAATCCTGTCTTACATCTATGGTACTTACTGGATTGAAAGGAACTATGATGAAAGGGGCCCCAGAAACACTTCATAAAGACATTTAATCTTTGTTTCTTTTTCCATTGTATTCATATTCCGTACAGCTTTGCTCAAGGGCCACTGAAAGATGCCCCTAACTTGATCTGTACACCACACACTGCTTGGTACAGTGAACAGGCTTCACTGGAGATGAGAGAAGCTGCTGCGACGGAGATACGCCGAGCTATCACAGGTACGACCGCTTGCTGTCCCGTATGCCAGTTTCCACCTCCAAAACGCTTAATCTGTGATAGGACATGTTGTAGTGAATACAGCAAGTAAGAAGCTAGTTGCCTGAGCAGGATCTAGATTTGGTCATAGTCAGAGTACACCTATTAAAATGAATAGGATTTACATTATGATTAATTTGTTCCATTGTGTTCAGTAGAAATACTCTTAAGTATGCCTGCTATCTAGATCCGGTGTCGCAGTGCCAGCATTGTGTATCCCAGGCATGAGTCGCATATGTAGTGTCAGTGAACAGAATGAAAACTTCTAGAAACTTTACAGACCAGGTGCAGCAGCAGCCCAGCAAGTGCGTCGTTTCACTTCTGCAGTCTGGGTCTCTGTGTGTACGGCCAGTGTTTTTAATGCACACATTGGCAAGTGTAAGCTGGAGGGTGTGAGCGCACAACCACTGCCATACTCCTCACTGTTGTGAACTGAGTTCTCCCTCCCAGCCTGAACAGTCTCACCAGTGCTTCTTGCCAAATGTCTTTATTTTACATGCAAGTCTCTGAGCATGTGCAAAGCAAAATGTTGAACCCTGCCTGCCCCCCTTCACCCAAAGCTTTTCTTATGAATTGTTCTGCACCTGTCCCTGGGGGAGGAGTGCTGTGGAAGCAGGCACACCTTCCCTTCTCCCTCCGAGATCCCCATTGGGCCACCCTACAACTGTGATGGTGGACTGTCAGGTCCACCTCCGCAGGAGGTTGCAGTTCCCCATCTGATGGACTCCCCATCTCTAAATATCCCCTCTCAGGATGTTGCTGCTTTTCCTCATTCCCACGGGCGGGTTGACTGGGCCCCTCCTCTGCCCATGAACTGATCTCTCCCATAGCAGGCACAGGCGGATACCCAAGGCCTTGGAGTGCAGCTGGAGCAGTGTCCATTTCAACAATCATCTCATTGTCAGCCCAGGGGACAGGCCAACTCGCCTTGAGCTGTCAGTCCAGCCAAAATGCTCAGCCTTTCATGTGTGCCCCCAGCGTTTGCACAACTCTTTTGGATCTGCAGGATCACCTAATGGAAGCACAGGCACAACATGTTGTGCTGCACATCTTGAGTATTTCAGTGTACACATTTCATTTTCTACTGTAATGGCAAAAATCAGAATTGGGTGAAAAGCACTACTATTGCAGATGTAGTGGCAAATTACTGTTAATGACTGAATGGATGGGGACTGCAATCCAAGTAGTTTCAGGCCGACATGGAAAGTGTAAGCATCAGCTGCGCTTAAATGTCCACATACATGCACCATATATGGCACAGTCAGCTCTTTAGCATATGTAAGTAGGAAGTTAATTTATATATATTTCTGCATTCTCCCTTGTCAGTGCAGGTTAATATTCTCCTGTTCCCGACAGGAGCTATTCTAGCACTAACTGCTAGGAGGTTAAATGACAGAATTACCATCTTTTAGACCACTTTTTTGTTTATTCCAGTGAAGCTTGCAGTGATCAGCAAGTAGTACAGTCCAGTGGTGCTTCTAAAGGGACTTAGTTCTGTAAAGGGATGGGAAATTGTTTATTACTATGCTGACTGAATCTAGCCCCTCAGTAAAATTCTAATTTAGCTTCTATTAGCTGAGACAATTTTTGGAGAAACTACAGCATTACCTGTTGTCTCATTTGTAAGCAAATTCCACAGCTGTGCTTTATTTTGAGCACCTCTGTGAACTAATCCTTCCCCTCCAAATATGGCAATTGGTGCAGAAATATAGCAGATTGGGTATAGTTAATTGCATGGCAATGAGACTAATTGTGCCTAACCCCTTTTTGAATTAAATTCAATTCCTCCTGCTTCAGGTCGCATCCCTGAAAGCCTTCGAAACTGTGTGAACAAGGAATTCTTTGTCACAACAGCTCCTTGGTCAGTAATAGATCAGCAAACAATTCATCCAGAGCTCAATGGTGCCACATACAGGTAAGCTGAAGAAAGGATTTTTTTTTTAAAGGAAAAACTACAGTGAGCTGCTTTATGCATAAGTGTACTGAGGCTTCTTCTATGGAAGGCTCTCTTTTATACATGTCTGAGAGATCATATCCACAAGTAACTGGATTGTATATCCTGTGCAGACTGTGAAATAAAGACACTATAGATTCATTTGCACTTCCCTGCAAAGTTTTTCTAGAGTTGCAAGTAAATCTTACTAATTCATTCACATATAACTTGTCCCCTTCAGATGGCATAAGGAGATGCTGGAAGATGACTTGAAAAGCTTACTCCATTAGTCTGGAGTAAAAATACACTATGGTGTTTTTTAAGGACTTGGAAGGCTCTTTGCAGAAATTGGGGTCGAACCAGCATAAACATATAGCTGGTGTGTGTGTGTGTGTGTGTGTGTGTCCAAGTGAACATTATAGACTGTCTTTTTAATACATAATTAACTCAAAGGATGGACTCCCATGCTGTTCAAGCACCTAATTTTGCATACAGTCTCAAATTCACTTGCAGATGTATGTCTCTGGTTTCCCCCAGGTGAAATGACCTATCAGTCCTAAACATAGAAAGTATGAACCCCTGGACACCCATTACTCTCCTGCTCCCAAACACATGCATATCACCCACCAGGGCAGTTAGAGAAATTTGTGCTCCGATATGCCCATCCGTTGCATACACCATCTGGAAATAACTGAATAGAAACAGAGCTCTGCTGAATTCTGTCAGGATCCCTGAATGCATGAGCACTGCCATAGCAAGGGGAGGTCGATTATCTGCAATCAGAAATGTGGACAGCTAGAACAGCTGTTTTGGAGGGAACATGTAGCCCTTCAGATGATGTTGGACTGCATTTCCCATCCTTTCTGATCATTAGCTATTGTGGTAAAGCTGACAGGAGTTAGTCTGCTCACTTTCCTAGTATAGGTACTAAATTCTAGGGTTAGCCATTAGCCACACCAGTCTGTTCCATCAGAAATGTTGCAGCAGAGTTGCAAGTAAACCTTATTGGAAGACAGGTTCCCAAATGTCCTCTAACCTGAAAACAACTTTTAAATATTCTTGTCTAGTGGCCCCAATATGTTCATTTGTACATACATCAGTAACGGTCTCAAAGACACATCGGGTATATTTGTCCATCTTAGTGTATGCTCAGCGTTCTGCCATGCATGGTTTGCATTTATGAGCAGAACTGTCTGTACGCCATATTTTCACATGGGAGGAAAAGCAGTAAGTCTAATACTGGGTTTCACAGAACTCTCAATTAGTACATCCAAGTTTTCATACCACTTGCAATACTCTCAAGCACTAGGTAAGGGTTTAGTTGTCAGTGCTCTGAGGAAATGTTTACTACTTCCCATGAGTAGCAGAATAAAATAAATTACGGAAGTGTAATAGCTTGTTTTAGTGTACATGATTTATACAGACTGTAGACTTACCTTAATCTTAGAAGAAAAATACTTTCTTTTACATAGTACATAGTCCTGTTTAACTGTACAAGAGAAATTATAGTAATCTGTTAAAGGAATGGGGTTAAGGGTTAACTTGCAAAATATCTTTTATCTTTCATTGTTCCTGCAAGTGCGGCTACCTCAAAATTTAATCAGTAAAGAAAAGCAAAACACAAACATACTGCTTGTGCAAGGCATTTTCCATTAATCAGGTGGAATTTTTGGCCACCTCAGATTCAAAACAATTATGGCTTTGGAGGCAAGAGGATATTTGGGGATAATATATTTTGAGCTACAAGTTGTAGCTGTAAGTTAGAAAGATACCATGTACAACTATTAAACAGTATCACATTCCTTGAAAGCTTTTCTTTGCTTCAAGTTTTTTAAAGGATTTCCCAAGAAGAAAAATATGTCTCTTTATAGCCATTGCAGTTGCTCTTGCTCTTAATTAATGAAATAGCAAATGAGTCAGTTGTTTTTCTCTCCAGATTTATCTTTTGACATTAATAAAGGGAGGCACAATGTGGTGGGGGCAAGGGCAGCTTCAGATTGTTCATATAAGGCTGCTCCTGCAGCTGCTGGAATGCACTCCATGGCTGCTTAATGCCTGGAACAGTTCTGTCTCATGCTTCAATGTGGATAAAGCAGTAAAAAAGGGAAAAGGTCTGTAAGAGCAATACGTCTGTTGCGGCATTGATTAAAATCAAATTTGTCCTCTCCAAAGAGTACTCAGGTTTGCTATTAATAGTTTTTTTTTGCAATGATTTGGCAAAGAATCAAATCTAAAGGAGTCCGGGCCCAATTCAAGGTGTTGGTTATGACCTATAAAGCCCTCAACGGCTTGGGACCTGGGTATCTAAAGGCGCGCTTGCGTCCATATATGCCCTCCTGCCCCTTGAAATCAGCTACAGATGCCTTTCTCTGGGAACCCTCTTTGAATGATATTAGGAGGATGAGTACCTGGAGGAGGGCTTTCTCTGCAGTGGCGCCCCATCTATGGAATGTGCTCCCCAGAGAGTTCCGCCTGGCGCTGTCATTATTTGTTTTTCGGCGCCAGGCTAAGACCGTTTTACTTAAAACTCATTTTAATTGTTTATTTATATTTATAGGATTTTAAATCTTTTAAGCCAAGATCCACCGGGTTTTAATATTTTTACTGTTTAACTGTTATATTTATGTATTTTTTTGTTGTTGTGAGCCACCCCGAGGATTTATTGCGATGGGGGCGGCATAAAAATGTTAGAAAGAAAGGAAAGAAAGAAAGTTACCTTGGAAGATATTTTTTCCTGTTATCCTCAGTCCACATAGACTGTTTTTAATAGAAAGTTGCATTTTGCTCTCCTTGTAACTTTGATATCAATCTCTTTCTAGATATCCTCCAGGCATGGTGAGCGGGATTCCGGCAGCTATGGAAGGTATCATCCCAGGAGGGATTCCTGTTACCCACAATCTTCCGACAGTGGCACATCCTTCCCAAGCTCCTTCTCCTAACCAGCCCTCAAAACACGGGGACAACAGGGAACACCCCAATGAGCAATAGCAGATAATTTAAAGCACTCCAATTTGGGACCAAGAGACATTGGAAAAGAAAATTTCACACAAACTGACAGGAATTTGATACAAAATTTGTAAGGTTGATTTTGGACTGATGCATCAGTGATGTTCCAGTGTTAACTACACACACACACACACACACACACACACACACACACACACACACACACAGGAGTCAAGACTTGGGGGAGGGAGGGATACCCCAGAAGAAGTCACCTGCTTACTGAAGCACTGAAGACTAGGATTTGATGATACATTACTGATCAGCTTCTGTTATTGTGTCTTTAAGTTTCCTTCATCTTTACATCAGTCACAAGAATAATGTATATTTCTTCTCAGCCCCTTTGGGGAGTAGCAGCTGATTGAAGTACCTGCTGCTTAGAGCATGTCCAGCAGTCCTAACAAAGCTTACATGGTATTAAGAGGAAACCATCATGTGACTTCAGCCCTTTCCTTCCACACTTACCTGGCTCCTCCTTGTACAGCCTGAGGAAAGTTGACCCAGAGATGGGGCACAGTTTTGCTTGTTGCAGTTATATATGGCCACTAGCGGAGGGATGCTACTCAAGTTTAAATACAGTTATGTAGGTCAGGGGAAAGAAAAAAGGCCCATGTTAACTACCTGCCTTTTAAACCACAGAAATGGATGCTTCTCCTACAAGATACACTTAATAAAGTAGCTGTACATTCAATAACATGTGCTGATGATGCAAAAAAGTGTTAAATCTCACATTTATACTCAAATATATTTTTCTCAGTTTTAAATCCACAGCTATTTTATTGAGTGGAAAAGTCTTGAGCTGGAAAGGGTTCAAGAATAATGTTGCATTTCCTTATGTCTCAGGAAAAAAAAAACACTTTTTATGGTAACTTGTCAGACTGTATGAACAAAACCCACTTTTTTAGACATTAAAGTCTTCTTTTCTTCATGTGATATTTTATACAAGAACACTTCAAAATGTGTTATTAGGTGTGACTGATTTTAACAAATCCTATTAGATTTGTATCAACTAGTTACATGTTATACTCATAGTCTTTTGTGAATCATCGCCTTTTTGTTGAAAAAGATGGCCTATTCTGAGCCTTTGTATGGGTACATTCCTGTTTCTGTGATAAAGTTTGAAAAGCTGTCCCAAACAAAACAAAAGCAGAACCAATGGCTACCAGAAGTATGTTTTGTTTTAGTGTGTTACAGTTACTGTATTTGTTTATTGTAAAGGTGGACATATAGCGTTCAGTGCAGTTTTCAATAAAAAGTGACCATTTCTATAATTTGAGCTGGACCAGGCCCTCAATGTACTTGTCCCTACTCAAACAGAGAGCATACATTCAGGTCACAGGAGTGATCAAACTAAAACTAGCCTTTCTAGGATTTGGAAAGAGTAATTATTACAATCCACCCCTGTGCTCAAGATTCCACAACATAATTCTGGGTTCCATCACTTCCATGTTCACATGTTGTTTCTTTTGTCACATGCAAAACTAACAAGGTGATTGGGGAAAATCTCTATTTATTTGAATGTAGGGCTTCTCTAACTTTAAAATCCAGAGCCCTATAGAAGCAAAACAGATACATGAAAGCCTCTTTGGGTTTCCATCCTAAAGAATTTCCCAAGAGAATTGTGACTATGATGCTAAGGTAGGGAGTGAACATGTATTGTTCCCCTTAATGGTAGGGTCGCTACCATGCAAAGTAGTTCATGATGTCCATGTCGGGGTCAGTAATTAAGAGATGTCAGCAGTTTACTATACTAGTAAGAGGTATCAACTATTGTATAGGAAGGCTGAAGGTCAAATTGCTCTGGCCACCAAAGACCTTTTCAAGCATTCTTACTATATTGAATGAACACATTAGGAAAGCACTCCATTACTTTGCATGCACAGAAAGCAACAGTCTGACCCTGATTTTTCCAGGGTTCCCAATCACAGGGAGAGCCTCCCTGGATTATGTAGAGCAATGAATGCGATGGTTGGGGGAGGGGGTTGCTAGAGTGCTCCTCACCTCATGCATTCAGTCAACACAGTAACAACCACCTTTAAAAAGAACTAAACTCTCTAGGGAGCTTTTGTCCAATCACTTCTCCACCTCAGCCACCAGTCTGTAATAAAACAAAAAAATACTACTTACCAAGCTTACAAGGCTCGTGTAAGGTTACTAAGATTAAATCTGATTATGTGCATTTGAAAAGAAACACCATAAATATTACAACGAATGCTCTACCAGCTTCAAAGAATGACACTACAGGATGTGGGGATGAAGCTATGAATGATAAGGATGGGGTAGCAAGATGAGAAGCTGCCACTCGTGCAGGAAGAATGGTAGTTTCTAACTGTTCTTCCTTCAACTGAAGTATCTTCAACCTCTGGGATAATGGCAGAGAAAAAGGAAAGATAACAGGATTCTAAGCACAGGTTGATACAAATGCCATTTCATCAAAAGTCCAAAGTCAAGCCATACAGGCAGGTCCACAAAATTCCATTTATATGTATATATATTCATTTCTGACTATATACTAGATTAGCTTTCAGATGCATTTTAAAATGAGCTGGCAATTAAAGTATCTAGCAAGAAAGAAAGACACAGAAAAATGTACGGAAAGACAAACTGAAAGCAAACCATTGGTACAAAACTTGTATTTGTTTTGTTTTAAATTAATGGAAAAGCACATTACCAGCTTTGAACATATTTAAGGGAGTCAATTTCATAGATGTGTCAATGATCTAACACTGCAATTATGAATAACTTACCATAGACACCAGTATAGAGCAACCAGGAGAAGGAACAGTGATGAATTACAGAGAACATTTAAGGAAGCCACACAAAGATGAAATAATATAACATTTACATTGGCATTAGTGAATTTTAGAAGCTGCTATTATTGGAAGTTTGTTCTTAAACCAGGAAGTGGCATTCCAGATACACATAATTCATGTCAATGAATATGGATACTTTCTAACAGGGTAATTGAGGCAGACTTGTCTACCATCAGTGAATGTGCTAGGAACCCCTGCCACATAATTTGGCTGCTTTGATGCAATTAATTTCACATTACTTCCAGGTACTAAGTTGAGGAGAATTGCCCCACTTAAAATTAAAACCAAATTCATCCTGAAGGAGGCTTTTAAGTCAAATTTCAATATAACAGTTGTGGTTCTAAAAGTCATCCTAGTTTGATAAATAGGTAAGTTCCAAATGCAGATGTTGGTCATGGAAGAGTTTATAAATGCTGTAGTAATTCAGAAAGCATAGGTCCACTGCAGTAGAACAAAGCTTCAGACAAGTTCTTAAAGTTATTAAGGTACAAAATGGTGAAGATAACAAGAAGGAAGCCATTTTGTTGCCAAAACGGTGCTTTTAGCACTTGAAGTAGTAATACTTTTCTAAATCGGGTAGCAGGACTTAAAGTCAGACATTAAAAAAAAAGTGGAGGAAAGAGAATTCATAAAAGTATTTAAGCAGGAAAGACTCTCCCACCACCAGCAGCAGAACTCAAAAGGAAGAACAATACAAATAACTGAATTTAAAGGGTTCTATTATAGCACTCCAAACTACTTTAGAAAAAGGACTTGAATTAAAGCTTGCACCTTCAGTTTAAATGTGATAGTACACTCCACCCCCCCCCCCACCACCACCATTGCAGTTTAGAACTTAGTCAAGTGGGGGGATCTTTCTTTTCAGCCAATATATCAGAGGCCAATTCATTATTGCAGTCACTTGTCAAGGCACAGCCACAATTTACTGAATGCCTTTTCTCCAGCAGTATAACTACTACTGGATTTTAAGTCTAAACTAATCCACTGACTTCCACTGATTATTAGAGGGATATGCTGAGGCTGTATTACAAGAAGTAGTTTAGGTACTGCTGTCTCTGTAATCACACAATATACAGGGATATGAGCTAGTAAAAATGTATACTATATTTTTATTCCTTATTTTATTTTATTTGCTTTCATCCAAAATATCAGGTTTTGTTACTGCAGTGGAATAAAAATGGCTAGATATCTGGCTATTTGTCCTTACTATGATAAGACAAACAAACGTAAAGTGATGCTTTATTTAAGGAAGTTCCTTCACCAGAAATAATACTAGACTCAGGGCAGCGCTTGCATCACTTCCAAGCAATACCCCCTCCAACACAAGCATAATCATAAATCTATTCTACTAATCTAGGAATGCAGGGATTTTACTGTAAAGTAGGCAAAGATTAATTAGTAAGGTATTAACTTTACCTTATGATTGTATTTAGGAAAAACTAAGGATTGTACATTAACGCAGAACCTGCTTTAGGAAGACAAAACCAATTGTTGTAATGTCTAGGCAATGTGACTCATCACAGGTAGGCATGCATCTGATAATCTCTGCATGCATCAAGGTAGAAAACAAGTTACCAAAATACATACACATACAGTATGATATGCTTGTGTCAGAGGTGAAAAATGTTGTATTTCTTCCATATAGTACCCTGTTGAAATTTCAGTGTAGATTTGTTAATAGGATTATTACTTGGAGATTTTTGTTTCAACACCAGCTAAGCCACATTTAGAAAAGCAGCAAATTTGGAAGGATTCCTATACTTTTTACAACTATGTAAAAATACATAAGTACAGTTTCTGTCCAGATTCTTATGCAAAGAAATCTATTTTGCAAGAGTTTCCTTGTCATCATTTCCACCATCATTAGTCTTTACAAAGTGCTCATCAGGAACTGCTTTATGCATACAAAACTATTCAACCTTTAGTGTTTTTTAAAGTGAGGTTCTGGATAAGCTATATCCATTCAAGAGAGTATGGCTAAAGTTATCAAGTATAATAAAAAGATATTTCTACTGGAGAATATATTCTGAATTTATACTTTCAGGAAACTTACATATTCAATGGGGCCACAATCAATCAACATGCAAAAAATTCCAAAGTTTACATACCAAGAAAAGATAATATACAGTACTTTAAAACAAATTTTAGAATGAAGGCTTTTAAGGAAAACTGCCAAAGTGCTTTCTCACTCAATTTTAATGACCAGGGAGTGCTCCTCAATGGAGGTGATTTTAACTTGCACAGGGAAAGGCTTGAAAAAATATTAATTTCTACTGTACAATTCACAGCAAGACTGGGTTTGGACAAAATGCAGTTTTCAGTTTAGTTAACTTCACACAGTTACTTAGCATATAGTTCCTGGAACTTTCATTGACTATTTTAAGTAGGGAGGAAAGAAATCCCAAAAGAAATTATACAAACTATTAATGAACAGCAGAGAAGCCTTTATGGAAAACAAAGTTCACTTAATCAAAATTTATCATCCCTTCCAAAGTTTTTTTCCCTTTAACAATTCATTTTACTATAATGGGCACAATATTAACTCAAATCTGAATAAAACAGCATGCTTGTTCATACATCTGACATAGTCTGAATATATGGCATCAACAAAAAAACCCCACATGATCTGACCTGGGTGTTTTCAAGATTTCGTATAAAATGGTCTTTCAAGGAAATGTGCTAGAATGCTTAAAAAGTGATGCAGAATAAGCAAATTTTACTGTAAGTCTCAAAAAGAACAGATACTCATTTAGAATGTGCTTTTTTAAGTGCCCTTATTCCAAGGAAATCTCTTCAGTAATTTTAAGATGCTGGTAATACTTTTTCCTATTACACAACTTTTTTACACAACCACATGCGGTACATTTATAGGCAGATGTACAATTGGAAAGAAAAATGCTATGTGTCTTGGTAATAAAATTAGGCTTTGCTCTTTTTACAAATGGTAGTCCAACCAATGTAGCTGTCTTCACAGATCAGATAAGCCTCTTAATTTTCCCCATGCTGATTAAAAATCCTATGCAGGATGCTTCCTGCTACAGTTGGGTCATCATGTAACAAATTGCTAGACTGGGCCCCAAGGACTGGGGTTATCACCACACATATGTAGTCAGATATTTCAACGTTATCATTCATCATCATCATCTTCATCTTCCTCTCCATCTGAAAGGGATGTACAGGGGCGGATTTGTCTATAGCGATCAAGCCATTTCTCTACCATCTGCGTTACCAGGGGATGGTTGCGTCGGCGAGAGCTTTTCTGCATAGCAACTAGGACTCCACCCTCAGTCACACAACAGTCCAGCCACTCCCTGAGCAGCTTCTCCTGCTGTTCCTCATTACCAATCTTCAGAGAAAGAACACATACACTTAGGACATGCTTCAATTCAGATTGCTTACAATTAAAAACAGACTGGTGCTCAGTGGCATTTGTGATGTATCAGGTAGATTGTTCCTTCAAAATTTCAGGAGCATCTAATTCCTACACAATGCATAAAAATCACACTTATTTCATTTCCTCTAAATGAAATTTGAAGTAAGTGCCAGCTGTACATTGTATAAAACCAAATAATTAAAATTGATTAGAATCCCCAATCCACTTGTAGGCATGCACCAAATACTACTACTTTAACTTTACCCTTTAATGAGGAGTTAATGGAGTTGTTAAGAGCTGTTAGGGCTCTTGTAGCCTCTTGGAGACATTCTAATTCCAACTTTCTGGTTACAGAAAACAGGTGCACTGTCTTACACTAATGTGTCATTCAGAAGGTCATAGTCTTTTTAATTGTTTCTGGCAAGACAGTCTTTGACGTTCTTCCTCAAATGCTTTACTACTAAATCTGCTTGATACATACATACACAAACATACCCTAATAAACAAACACCTAAACAGAAAGATAACAAATATCACAACCCAAGCACAATTTTCTGTAAATTGTTTTCAAATGCCACTTGTTATAAGATAATTTTCTATACCTGGCCCATATCCCACAACCTCCAGATTCTCCTTGGGACATTTTTCTATTAATGCACTCTCTCAGGCACTGATTTGAGTCAGTCTGAACTGCTTGGTGTTTCTTACCTCTTGAGCAGACAGGAAGTGAATGTGCAGCAGCTTCCTTTCACTGTCAACCAATGGTAAAAAAGTAATAGTAACATCATCATCAGTGTTCAAGTTAGCACCAGCACCTCGATTGCCATAGCCATCATTCTCCATGGCAACCAAAGCAGAGAAGTGGCCCCTTGTGTAGCCCAGAGCAATAGGGCTTTTCCAACAAAAACTCTGTTCCCATAACAAAGGCAAATATACACCTAAGAAGAAGAAGAAGCAGTGAAACACGTAAGTCAAAATGAATTATTTTTAAGTCAAAATGAATTATTTTTTTATGAAAATACCCATCTGAAACAATGAACAATGCATATCTCAATTTCTTTAACATTTAGACAGCGATAATACCAGTTTCTCATTAGGAGGCTTGGTGATTATAAAATATTATAAATTTTACCCTGATACTATTCACTGGCCACAAACAGACATATTCCCTTACTAACATCTCACCAAAAAAGACTCACGATATCATGAGTCCCAGTAAAAATTCCAGGTGACATCAGGAAGGCAATTCAACATCTAAATTTCAGCACCATCATCAAACATAAACTACCCTATGTGGTTAAAGAAGTGGAATAAAGTCTTATACAACTGAATTAACCTATTCTGCACAGCTTCTCATTACATATAATTGATTCCTCCACCCCTTCGAGGAACATCACAAGTTATTCATAGAGACTTCAGCAAAACAACTAAGACAAGAACGTGCCCTGCCTTGAGAGAGTTTAAAAATAGCAGTGAGTTAATCCAAGTGCATATGTAGCATAGCAACCTTTGATAGTGAAACTGTGTCCAATGCATTTGCACAGAAAGCTACCTTCAATATTTATGTCTCCCCAACAGGAGACCAGTAGATTTCTTGCAAACAACTAGCATTATTTCCATTTCTTGATCTCATAGATGAATACTTGACAATATCCTTACTTGCATGGTAAGTAAAAATGATGACAATGTGCACATTGCACCTTTCCTCAAGCAAAGCAACAGTGACTTATACATGCAAATTTCACACACATTTTATATTCCAAATGCTATACTGAGAATTTTTGCAAGCAAGATATTTGGATTTTCATCATCATCATCATCAGGTTCTCACCTGACTGCCTGTGGAACTGTCTCCGGGCATCAAAATACAACATCATTGACAAAGGGCATCCATGCAGAAGAATCACTGTTAAAGTGCATGCATGTACAAAATCACTACTTGTGTGGTTGGTGTCTACCCCATAAGCATGCTGCCTCTCCCTTCCCAGGCACAGACACAGAATGGGTTTGCATGACATGGGCAACAACATAGGAACAGAGGTAGCTTCCTTAAACTGAGTTGAGTGGCTTGGTACTGTCTGACTGGCAGCAACTTTCTGATATTTCAGACAGCTTTTCCAGGCCCACCTGAAGATACTAGGGATTAACCTGGGAGCTTCTTCATGCAACACACATGCTCTACCACTTAGTTGTGACCAACAAGTCACAGTGTGGTCTCATGGCATGCAGACCCAGCCTGTTTCCCACAGGGTAGCTTATCTACAGGGAGTAAGCCACCCTAAGAACCCACAGCTTGTTCAAAGGGTTGCACCCATGATGACTTGCTATGTCATCTGACCAACAGGTGAATAATCCTATCATGAGTACCAGGAAATAGCTAGCAAGCTCTTGGCAAAAGTGGCAAATCTCCCTTTATGCTCTTGCCAAGCCCAGCCAGAGCAAAACCAGTTCCAGCCACACCACTGATGCCGAAGTAGCAAGGTGGAGCAACCTGCACTGGTTCCATGTCCTTTGCTACTATCATGCCACAGCATCTCCCCCCCACCCTGCTTTGTTACCGTGTGTGTGTGTGTTGGGGGGCGGGGGGGGGGCTGTGGAAAGTGATCTTCAAATTGACAGCTAGTCACAGCTTCTTCACCATGCCACAGTGTGAAGGAGAGGCTGCATTGGCTTGCCGCTCCTTTTTTTTAGAGAATTTTGTGTACCAAAAATGTGCATTTTCCCATTTTTTTAAATTATTATTGCTTGTTGAGTGTGCACTTTTGTGGGTTCAAAATGGCATGCCTTGCAAGGTCATTGTCCAAAGGCTCTCTACTGTTAAAGTGCAACAGACACGCCTCATGGGTGCTGCCCCAGAGAAGATGCCAAGAACTTAATTTTTATGTAGATTTGTCTTGACAGATGACAACAGATGAGCTCTGTTTCCTTTTCCTTTGGACCAGGCACCTCAGGGGTCTTCATTTCCAGCCTTTTCCAAATTCTAGGTACTTGGCAAGAAGCAAGAACAAACTCCTTTTTATAGAAACTGTCAAAACTGCAACTCTTTTTAAAAGGATTTCTTGACAGCACTTCTCATGAATTTTTGACAGGGACATATGCATTCATGTTTATGACAGATCCTCTGCAAATGCAAGAGCTGCACTTTACAGTGCCATAATTCCAAAATAACACTGGCAAAGTGGGGGAGTGGGGGGGGGACCAAAATTTATGAACTAAGTGGGGGGCATACCTCCCAGCTGGCAGTGTAATTCTCTGTCAGTTCAGTATTCTTCACAGTTTCAATGTTTTTCTGAGTTTCTAGCTAGTCAAGAAAGGGATGATATTGGCTCCCAGCCTTTCCATCCTTTACTCTTGCTTTTGAATTAACAGATACACACTAGGTCTCTGGCGCATGCAATACACACACACACACACACACACACACACACACACACACACACACACACACATTATATATATACAGTATATCACAGAAATAAGTACACTCCTCAACATGTTGTAAATATTTTATTATACCTTTTCATGTGAAGAAATGAAAAGAAACACTGAAGAAATGACACTTTGCTACAATGTAAAGTAGTGAGTATACATCTTATATAACAGTGTAAATTTGCTGTCCCCTCAAAGTAACTCAACACACAACCATTAATGTCTAAACCGCTGGCAACAAAAGTGAGTACACCCCTAAGTGAAACTGTCCAAATTGTTAATATTTTGTGTGGCCACCATTATTTTCCAGCACTGCCTTAACCCTCTTGGGCATGGAGTTCACCAGAGCTTCACAGGTTGCCACTGGAGTGCTCTTCCACTCCTCCATGACGACATCACGGAGCTGGTGGATGTTAGAGACCTTGCACTCCTCCACCTTCTGTTTCAGGATGCCACACAGATGCTCGATAGGGTTTAGGTCTGGAGACATGCTTGGCCAGTCCATCACCTTTATCCTCAGCTTCTTTAGCAAGGCAGTGGTCGTCTTGGAGGTGTGTTTGGGGTCGTTATCATGTTGGAATACTGCCCTGCGGCCCAGTCTCCGAAGGGAGGGGATCATGCTCTGCTTCAGTACATCACAGTACATGTTGGCATTCAAGGTTCCCTCAATGAACTGTAGCTCCCCAGTGCCAGCAGCACTCATGCAGCCCCAGACCATGACACTCCCACCACCATGCTTGACTGTAGGCAAGACACACTCATCTTTGCACCCCTCACCTGGTTGTTGCCGCACATGCTTGACACCATCTGAACCAAATAAGTTTATCTTGGTCTCATCAGACCACAGGACATGGTTCCAGTAATCCATGTCCTTAGTCTGCTTGTCTTCAGCAAACTGTTTGCGGGCTTTCTTGTGCATCATCTTTAGAAGAGGCTTCCTTCTGGGATGACAGCCCTGCAGACCAATTTGATGCAGTGTGCGGTGTATGGTCTGAGCACTGACAGGCTGACCCACCACCCCTTCAACCTCTGCAGCAATGCTGGCAGCACTCATACGTCTATTTCCCAAAGCCAACCTCTGGATATGACACTGAGCACATGCACTCAACTTCTTTGGTCGACCTTGGTGAGGTCTGTTCTGAGTAGAAACTGTCCTGCTAAACCACTGTATGGTCTTGGCCACCGTGCTGCAGCTCAGTTTCAGGGTCTTGGCAATGTTCTTATAGCCTAGGCCATCTTCATGTAGAGCAACAATTCTGCTTTTCAGATCCTCAGAGTTCTTTGCCATGAGGTGCCATGTTGAACTTCCAGTGACCAGTATGAGAGAGTGAGAGCGATAACACCAAATTTAACACACCTGCTCCCCATTCGCACCTGAGACCTTGTAACACTAACGAGTCACATGACACTGGGGAGGGGAAATGGCTAATAATGCCCAATTTGGACAGTTTCACTTAGGTTGAAATTTTTTATTTAAATAAAAACATTCACTTAGGGGTGTACAAGCTGTATATTCACTACTTTACATTGTCGCAAACTGTCATTTCTTCAGTGTTGTCACATGAAAAGATACAATAAAATATTTACAAAATGTTGAGGGGTGTACTCACTTCTGTGATATACTGTGTATATATGCATGCAAATTTGCACACATGCACTCTCATCTTGTCAATTTTCATGTATGTTGCCTATTATATTTTGCTCCTTTTAGCATCTGAAACAAAGAAATTGACCAGACAAGACTACATATACTGTAGGACCATAACACCACACTTGCACATTTGTGAAAGATTGATAACAGCAAGAACAACAAAGAAAGAGCACAGCTGCACAATCTTCAGAGGTTGGGGAAAATAAAAAGACCCCAGTTGTACTTCTTGAAGGCTCCAAAAACAAAAACTGTGGTGAATGAAAAGGAACAGTCAGAGAGGAGGGGGAGACAAAGAGGCTCTGCTGCAAAGCCCAGTGACATACCAGCAAGAGGATGATTTTTTCTGTGAATAGCCACACTGTGAGACTTAGTAACAGCGTGGCTTAGAATGTGAAATGAATATGACCAATGAAAACAACCAAGAATAGAGGCAACAACAGCACATGAATATGTTTCATCAGAACAGAAAATTTATAAAATCATAGAATAGTGGATTTAGAAGGGATCAGTAGGGCCTTCAGCTCAATGCAGGACTGCAATATGCTACAAGTTAAAGCATCCGTAACAGATGGCTGTCCAACTGCATCATGATTTCCTTCAGTTTGGGACAGCACACAACCTCATTAGGTAACTGGTTCCATTGCTGAATTGCTCTAAGAGTCAGAAAGTTTTCCCTGACATTCACCTGGAATCTGGCTTGCTGTGACTTGAGCCAGTTATTCCTTGTCATGCACTCTGGGATGATTAAGAACAGAACCCAGCCCTCCCGTGTGTGACAAACTTTCAGATATTTGAATTTTCGCTTTTCAAGGTTAAATATGCCCAGAGTTTTCAGTCTCTCTTCAAAGCGTTTTGTTTCCATACTGTTATTGCAACACCTTCTGTGAGTGATCTGACTTTTCCCCACCTTCCCAGCAGATTCTGGAAACATTTGAACTTAATCTGGACCCTATTTATTGCCAATAAAGCAAAACTGGGCCTCTTAATGTCAGTGGAAAAAAATGAATTGTTTTATCACACCAAAAGCTAAGAGAACTGTTGAATGTGAAACCTACTAAACTCAAAACTTCAGATGTATTCCACAAATCTACTGCTACTTCTTCAATTTACCATCTTTAACACCAGCTCTTCACAACAATTTAAAGAGTCATATTTTACTCTAATTCATACTTACCTTGAAAACGTGTATATCCTAAGGTTTCTCCCCGGAAACTCTTATAGTATTTTACTCCATAAACTATAATTGGTCTTCTAAGAATATGTGCAAGTACAAAAATGTGTGTCTGTTCCAAACTTGCTCCAGGCTATATCAGAGAGAACATAACTTGAAATAAAAATGTCATCTGCCATATGAAACAAAGCAATTGACAGCTTTTGATGAAATTATATCCCAAATCAGGAACTTTACTTGATGCTAAATCACCATATTATTTCTTTTTTTAAATTGTCTGTATTTTGAAAAGTTTAATTATATGAACTTAAAATATATAATCATCACTGTGGGAAGAAATTTAGCAGACTTGAATGAAATCCACAAGTTCCATCTCCAAATGCCACTTAACTAAATAATAACTCCTCTTTAGTTTTCTAGAAACAATGGCTAAGACTGTAAAAATTACAAAAGGTAAAGGAGGGACAGGATTTCATCTGAACTCTTGAAATTTAAGCTCAACCAAAAGAGATCACTTTTGCTCCATGTACTAAATTACTGTACAACATATGGTGTATTTTGGGAAGCCATTTTAATATTATAATAAAATGTGACTAATGCATTCAGAAATATTAGGTGCCACTTCAGTACTACCAACAGAGAAAATCACACAGTAGTAGCTCAATGGTTTCAATTCTAAGATGTCCCTTTCCTTTCTCTCATATTATACAGACTTTCTTTCAATGCACTTGCTGTATTTTGTGAAAACGTAAAATATTCAGAATGAACTAATGCCCAATGATACTTCAACGTATTATGCTCCATGATAATTTGGGATCACTGCCAGCTGTTTTCTAATAAAAAGTAAGAGGAAGTTCTGCTAACAGCTGCAGGACTGTGCCCTGAAGCTCTATTTTTTGGAGCAAATTTAGTCCCCCAGCTGATGCAGCTACTGTTAAAAGACCTGTTCTGGTCTAATGGACACAAGCAGAGATTCAAACAGCACTGGAAATAATCCTAAGAATCCAATCACATCCAAGGGATCACTAACTTGCAAATGCAAAGTATCCTATAGACACCTAGATGCTGTCCGGAGACCATAAGATTGCTAACCTAGAACCTTTTTCAAATCTTGTTTGAGCATAAACCTGGTTAGCCTGACCACATTTAACATTATTGCCAACTGTAGTGAAGCTCCTGAAAATTATTTTCCAGGACAGCTGCAGTCTATTCTTGAAATCTTACCTTTGGTTAAGCAAAGAATCTTGAAACATGCACATAACCTATTATGACCAAATCAGCATGCTAGTTTTTAAAGGTAATAAAATCTACAGGTGTTCAAGCTATTTCAACTACTAAGGAATGCAACCTAGCACACCTACACAAGCTAGAGAGTGATCGGGCCTGCAAGTTTATTAGAAGAAATGCTCCCCACACACATAAAAACTTGTGGATTTCCAAATCCAAATTTGCACAGTGAACACAAATTAAGACCATTATTTTCAAGTCCTATTTTAAGTGGGAGAACGAAGGCTGTGAAAGCTTTAAATACTCTTAAGACCCATTGACTTTGATTGGTTAGTGCTCAAGATATTTAAATTATAAGATCTGGCAAAAGCCACCTTAATTAAGAAAACAACAACCACAATATTAGATGTCATTTAAATAAAGAACTTTTCCATTTGGATGGCTAGTCTAAAAATGAGAGGGAACCATAGGGGACAATGATATCTGTGAAATACAAATAGCTTTCTAAACAGCATTATGCTTCCCATATTTATCTTTTACATGCAGGCTTACCTGACTAGCAAGCGAAAGTATAAATGCCCAGTCTTCCTGCCATTGTTCTTCTCTCAGTGAGAAGTGTAAACCAAAGCTTTGAGAGTACCATGACTCCCATTCTTTCCATCGGGTATAAAACCTACAAAAAATAAATGTAACATAAGGTTGTTCATGCATAATTCGAAACCATACTGGATTGTGTTAGGAAGGTCTTAAAAGCAGGAATTTGGCAGATTCCTCATCCATACTGCCACCCCAAATGTTCTGGCAATTTTAATCTGATATTTAAGGGAGGGGGATTAGAAGGGGCAGAATAAAGAAAAATAAAATGTCAAGGTCAGAGTAAAACTGATTGTACTTGAGTTTGTGATGCAGTTCATTACATTACATGTGACAATCATATTCATGAAAATATTTTTGTGGATGTGTAATAAACTGTATGTAGCTAAGAGTCTAAGTTAATATATACTGTTAAGCAACTTTATTATTTTTGTTTCCCCCTCACCATTCCTCCACCCATAAGGTTAAGGCTGCTTAGCATTTCCTATACACACTCTTGGAGTATGTACCACCTATAATAGGGCAGTCCAACTTTCCATACCTTGAGGGGCACATGAGGACAAGGAAACCAAGGGCCTCACAATGAATTATACTTCCGTATTGCAAATTAAAGCATTCACAATATATTTAATATACACAATTAATATATTTCATTAATCATTAAACAATGGGCAAAATCGATATGAGGTTTCAAAGTTGACTTTTCTCTGAGGAGATTTCAGGCAGCTCCTTCCCTGACCACAGCCCAAGCACAATGACCACTCCTCTGAGGTTGCCCATCCCTTTCTTCCCTCCCATGTGACCGCCCCCCAGCCCCTCCTTCCTTCTTGGAATTGGTGCATTGCGCCTGTTGTACTTGGGCCAACTAACTTTCCCTAGCATGCCCTGCCTGCTCCTGCTGACAAGCACAAAGACACTCAGTTTCTGAGTGCCTTTGTGCTCATCAGCTGGAGTGGCACAGGGCATGCTAGGGCAAGCTCTCATGAAGCTGCCAGCCTCAGGAAGGGAATGGAACAGGTTGGCAGCCTCATGAGAGCTCACTACAATCATGCCCGTGCCATCACTGGGATCCAGACTGAAGGGGGGGGGGGGGGGCCTCCAAGCAGCGAGAAGGCCACAGAACAAGGCCTTGTGGGCCTCATGGGGCCCATGTATTAGACCATCCCAACCTATAACAGCTAACATGATAATATGGATGCTGCCTTGGCTCTTAATTAATTGAGATTGTGCAATCCAATGGTTAATGAGGGAAAAAAGATTCCTTCAGGTCATATGTGATGCAATCAACCATAACTGAAGTACTGGTTTCAATTTAAGAAGCTCATTGTTGGATAGATCTTTCCAACGCTCCTGGCACAGATCCTTCACTTGGATTTTAAAATGGGAACAATGTCACTTGATGGAATATGTGTATATTTAAAAGCAATGTGTGCTGCCATTCTATCAACCTGGTGAGCCAGTTCACTGATCAATAAAACTCAACATGATAGTATGAGAGACTGAAGAACCACCGACTGCAAAAACAAAAACAAGAACAGGAACAAACAAGCGAGCGAGCGAACGAACGGACGGACGGACGAAAGAAAGAAACCAGAGAGTAGAAGCCAAAATAAATAATGAAAGACCATCAGTGAACTGTGGCATACTGAATGAATCGTTTTTCCAAACTCAGCTCTTAGTTAGTTCAACTTCAGCAGGACTGCAAGAAGTTCTGCAATGAATGAAGATGCCTGAGTTGTGGGGTGAGGTCTTCCTATGGCCTGGCACCTATGGACAAATGCTGCTCATCATGTGGTCTAAGGACTTGGAGCTATCAGGAAAAAAATCACTGCATAACCCTTGAAGAGTGATGTTCATAATACAAATCCTTGGAAGGAAAGGTTTTGTGTAGGTGATTGCAGAACTAATTCTGAAGAACTTCACTGAAGCAAGTAATATTCTGTAGAATAACTATACTTAAATAATATACAGTACCAAATTTCATGAGGAAGGCACTACAGCATTTTGTCATCTGCACCAGCTTTCAATCTTTTATTTTTCTGGGCTCAACTTAATGTGCCAGATTTAACCTTTAAATCTCTCTGTTTGGAATCTAGTTCCTGAAATAATCCCTCTGTAAGATCCTCTTCAGAGACAACATGAAAGAAGGCAGATGACTACTACAAAGAATACCTTCTCTGTGATTGCACTATGGCTGTAGAATAGCACCCCCAGAAATGTTTGCCTGGCACTATCTTTTTGGTGTTTTTCAGTGCCAAGACAAGACCTTTCCATTCATTCAGGCCTTTTAAAACAACTAGGAATTTAAGTAAGATTTGTGCTCTCACTGGGTTAGCTTTTTATTTTATAATCTGAACTGCTACACTAGAAAGTACACTTTAAATGCTCTATTATGAATTTTAAATATCTCATATTTGAATATTCTATTTGTCCTTGTTTTTTAAACCTCCCAGGGAAATCTGTGGATGGGCAGACATAACAATGAATTTATACTGATATTAATAGTACATCTGATTTTTCTTCTGTATATGGAAAAACTTCAGATACTTCTTTTGCTTCTGAAGACCATGTCTAACGTAAGCAGTCTAGTTTGGCCAATCTTTCATAAAATTGTAATTGTTACTGACTGCAAGTTCAAGGTTTGTGCAGCTTTCCAGTCATAAGAATAGTCCTTTAGTCCCTTTTCATTTCCCTAATAATGCTGAACCACTTCTATAAGGTATAATGAAAGCTTTAGATACATGCAACCAAAGTGGCACAATGAGACTTCCCCATTTTGTCCTCCTGAGTGACTGCTCCTTGAAAGTGCTACAGATGGTCAGAAGACCTTGCTAAATGAAGTAGTTTATGTTGACCGGAAAGGGGGGGATCAGAATCAGGCAGACACAACTTACATGGAACAAGTTGCTTCCCTCACACTTCCTATCTGCTCCATTTACAGAAGTTTCTGTTAGCCACAATACTGGACTTGGAATAAACTTCTAGGTTTCAAGGGAAGAAGAATGTCCAATATACTTGATAAACCACAGGCTTTGAGATCTTGTTCTGCTGGAAAAGCAATTTCAAAAAGGCTTGGGATTCTATGGAAGTTTGAGTGGAAGGCTTATGGTAAGTAGCCATTACTTCTAGGACCTTGTTGAAGAATTGGTGAGGTATTCCCATTTTCCATGTAGTGAGTGACAGGATGTCCAAGTCCAGGTCCTCAGCAATGTCTCTGCAAGATGATTCAGGAGATGAGGGAGAAAAAATATGGCTGAACAGGAGGAAAAGTATTACAAACCACATCTGCTTTGACAACCATGTGGTTATCAAGATACAGTAAGCCCCATTATCTTGTACTCTGTTCACCACTTGTGTGACTAGAGGAAACAGGAGAATGTTTTTGTTAGAACGTCTGCCCAGAGAAGAAGGAAAGCATTGCCCAGACAGTCCAGGTCATGACCAGTCCTGCTGCAAAAAGATTGGCATTTTACTTTCACTGTTGTAATGAAGGCTGGGATAGTTGGATGCTCCAACATGTTGAAAAATTCTAGCATGACTGTTGAGGCCTGTAAAACGGAAGCAGAGGATGAGTCTCAGCACTAGTTCTTCTGTGCTAAAGAGAGGGTATTAGTATGTGTTTCCAAGGTAGAAGCCAATGACAGCTGGCTGAGTTGATTCCAGGAGTTTTTCAATGTACATCCTGAAAGAATTTGGCTGGAAGAAGAGAGAGGAAAACAAATGGTAGATTTGCATGATAAGGCATTGTACACTTAAAGGTGCCCTTCGGTCATTCTAAAATAGGAATCTCTGAACTTTTTGAACCCACAGGCAGCTTAGGGAATTTGAGACACTACTGTGGGCACCACTACAAAATGCCTCATCAGTGGATCACCATGTGGGTGTTTACCTGTTGCATCTACGGATCTTACACTGTGTCATATTCAGAAAAATCTTTTGTTTTATCTACTGGGTACCACAATGTCTCTTTAATAGGGGATTATCTAATTCAGCTACTGGTTGGTGGTGCAAAAATGCTACTGTTCCTTTTAAACATATGCTCTGGGAATATCCAAAGAAGTTGCTTCTTTGGGGAAGAAATTATTACACATATGCATTTCGTTCCAGAAGTCTTTTATGAATTAACATTAATGATTTGCCTATTTCATCAATATTTTTATGTCCTTCTGATAGGTAAAAGTTTATTACAAAATTTGAAGGATAAACACTCATTTCCTCTAAAGTAATGGGCTGAAGACTTCACAATGCTTTCAATATATGAACAGGTGGCATATAAGCACCAACTTCAAACAATACTATTGTGTTGCTTTGCTGAAACTTATAGTTCCCAGAAAGCTGTATGCAGTTCATATACATGCTCATATATTTTAAAAAGAATTTTAAAAGTTGGGTGCCCATGGGGACTTGATTGTGGATGAGGGGGCCGACCTGGCCTGTATAACGGAGACCTGGGCGGGAGGGGGGGGGATGTTGCCCTCTCCCAATTGTGCCCGCCCGGGTATATGGTCCAGCACTGTTCACGGCCGGAGGGGAGGGGAGGGGGGGTCGCTTTGGTTTACCGAGCCTCCATCACTCTCACGGGACTTCCTGTCCCTTCGAGACCAGGGCTGGAGTGTCTCTACTTGGTGTTGGGCGACCGAGACAGATTGGGGATTCTGTTGGTGTACCGTGCACCCTTCTGCCCAACAGTCTCCCTGCCTGAGCTGACGGAAACTGTCTAGGACCTGGTGTTGAGGTCCCCCAGGATGCTGGTCCTGGGGGACTTCAATATCCATGCCGAGGCTAGTCTGACCGGGGCGGCTCAGGACTTCATGGCTTCCATGACGGCCATGGGGCTGTCTCAACATGTCACCGGCCCGACCCATGAACGTGGACACACTCTGGACCTGGTTTTCTCGACGGGGCAGGAAGAGGGTGGTCTGAGGGTGAGGAATTTATGCTTGACTCCCCTGTCATGGTCAGATCACTTCCTAGTGAGGTTTGTGCTCAAGAGCGACATCTCCCTCTGTAAGGGTGCAGATCCGATTGTGTGGGTCCGCCCCCGGAGCCGGATGGATCCGGAAGGATTCCTGAAGGCTC